ACTGAACATATGTAGTGTAGTCTTCTGGTACACTGACCACTTCTTATATCTCATAGGTCTCAGCAGTTTCACAGAACTGGTGATTGAACAACTCTCGGTACTAGTTATGAATCTCTTCCAGATCTTAAAAACTTGGGCTACCTACGATACCTGAGATTTTCATCTGTCGATCAACGTCGGTTATGTTGTGCAACATTAATTTCAGCTGTGCAACATGGTATATGAATGAAGAATAACAGGCAGAGGTTATGATTTCACCACAGAAATCATCAAAACATTTCGTAGTTATGGCGCAGCTAACATGAGAGTAATCCAAATATCAGACACGGTGTATTAGTCAAAAGTAATGGATTGATGAGACTGTATACATTCACAGATTTAAGTATTTTCCGCATAGCCAGAAACCACCTTCGTAAAAGTTAAACGTTGGCTTGTATTCGAGAAGGATCAAATAAATTTTGTCCGCGTAAAAGACACAAATTCAACTCACAAAATCCATTGGTTACTGATGTAAAAGATGCCGGAAAGCACGGGCTGTGACCTCTGTTTTCACATTTAACTAGTCATTTATTTTTTAGTAATTCAAATTGTTTTCATTGAATATTTTGTACAACAACGGCTTCCCGAATCTATGATTAATCAGTTTGTTAATTTCTCTATTATTCGAAATTTATATGACGTTTATTTCGGGATTGACTCTGTTAGCAAACTACTCACATACCAACTTTATTGAGGTCACAACGGTAACAAGTAAATTTAAAGCCAACTTCCTGATCATTTTAAATCAGTCAAAACAGATAAGTTTGAAAAATAGTAATGAAAAAACATGTCTGGTAAATTTGACTAAGGTCAAAGTTGACTATAAATGTACTAGACACAAAGAATTCAGAAAGTTTTTCAAACATGGTTATTTTAAAGTTTAACAACAGTTTTGAATTTTCTCTTTTTAAATAAAAAAATATTGATTTGGTCTATTGACGTGTTTGTTGTGTGAAGGTGAATGGTAGAAAAATTAGGCATTCGATGCCTTAATTTACATCAGTTACGACTTCAGAAATCTGTCTTCAAGCTAGCCATTATTGAATCCAAAAGGCACTCAAATTGACAAACAAAAATAAATAATCTTAGACCAAGGATGAATGTGAGAGTATAACTAACAGCTATAAAGAAAAACAGTGTATTAACTCTGATTAAGTATCATAGGAAAAAATGTCTCAGAATAAACCCAAATCGAAGGAATTACACAAAATTCCATATATTATTGAGTCCAAGTATATTTTTATTGTTTTTTTTAATCTTCTTATTGATGTTTAAGACTGTTACCTATCAGTTTCTTTTCGAATATATGCATTTTGTGCATATTGTCTTGATATTGCTATTGAATTACTAGCATTATCAGCAGATTTGGGTGATGGTTAGAAATGGAATCCAAGATGTTTGTTTCGTTCCATTCAGGATTCGTCAGCTAGATGTACCCGCATTCCAAATTTTATTAAAACCCTAGGACTCGAATACAGTACGAGCTACTGGTTTTTGCAAGCAAATGTTTTAGATTTTTCATCGTGAATGGTAACTTTCTTGATATGTTAAAAAATAATTAGTTCCTTAAGATTTCTTAGAACTATAAAACATCCACATATGTGAAAAAAAAGAATCAAACACTAGGAATTTCAGCATGTACTATGTATTTTGGCAGTTGGATAAATTAAAAGGGGTTCAGATTTTCGTATATCTACGGCTTCAATAAATCTTAGTATAACCCTTTTACACTTTTGTACAACACCACAAAATCCGTGTTAAGATCAATCTTATGACCTGTTTCAACTCTGTCGGTTAATAGAGAATGATGGATGATTATCATCTACTCTTAATGCGTCATTTGAATTGATCTGCTTTTGCAAACATTTAGGGACATGTTCAGCCACCCTAACTTGTAGATCATAATTATTACCTTGAATTCAAACTGAAAAAAGCATTCTGCTACTGTCTTCCCAAATTGCATACAATAATCAAGAATCTTTGATGGGAAAATTCTTTTTCTGGAAAATTTTGTACTTATTCAATAAATTTATGATCATACTTTTATCTATGTATATTTCTACCTGTTATCGTCCAAATATAGATTATCTGTTAAGTATTTTCAAACTGACAACCGATTAATTTTATCCAACTGTCCACACATTTAATTTCGTGGATGTGCACTGCTGAGGAGTTCCATGCTAGGATGAAGCTGCGGTTCAGTGCTTCCGGGTTTTCAATGGTGGTCTAACATTCATCTATTCATGATATCAATTTAAACTCAACAATCTCCACAACCCTATACGGAAAATTTAATTTTGTTTAGGTTAGAAGTAGTAACAGACAATGTATAACAAAAATAATTCATTTCATTTCGACTGCTTTAAATCTTCCATCCCCATTAACACTTAACTGATAAACAAACTATTTTACAGATACTACCTTTTTACAAATATACATAAAGTAACTCGTTACAGTAGTAACACAAATCATAAATACTTTTCACAACTATATGCATTACTTTACAATATCTTATCAGTATGGTAATAAATTCTTGTATTTCAATAGTTAAACATTTATCTATACTGTGATATATGAATTAAAGTCAGAAATGAAGTAGTAAATTCCTAACCTTATACATCCCTAAGCTTTAACATTCCTCTGATATTCTTCTTCTTCTCTTAATAAAGACAGTTGACGAATTACTATATTCCAATGATTCTTTAGAATTTTTACATTAATTACTTAACCATGTTGCATTATTTGTATTTATACTAACTGCATACAAAGATGTAGAGGGGTTACTTCTATGTCTGTCAAGTACGAATAACGAATCTCTTTTTTTACTTCATGATTTGATGTGTATTTCGTATGGACATGAAATTCTGTTGGAAAAATTAAAATTAATTCAATTACCTGAAGTAGAACAATAATTGAACAAATAGAATTGTATGTAAAATAGTTTCTAAGTGTTATGTTAAAAAATAATTCATAATTAAATTTTTCAATATTATCTTTATACTAGAAGTAAAATATCTATTTATATCTACAAACAATAGAAAAGAGTTATGATGTAAGAAAAAGTGCTAGTGATAGGAGTGAGTGTCCAGTATTGAGGAATAAAAAGGTTATTAGAATAACATAGATGGGTTTTTTTTCAAGCAAAGATGGATATTGGCTAGCAATGGAATCCAGAATGCGCGTCCCATCCTATTTGGGACTCGTCAGATGGATGTATTTGGATCTCAGAGTTGATGTTTACTCCAGGATTCAAACTCAGTACTATTCACTTCAAACATCATCTCGTTATTCACTTAGATACTCGCTTTCTGGATTCCATTGCTAGCCACTATTCATCTTTGTTTAGAAAACTTTTGACTTAAGGCTATATCGAAGCAATCCACAAAAATGCACATATATCAACATGAGACTGATCAATTGCAACCTTAAATAACAATGGGAAGATATAAGTAAAACAACACCAAGTGAATTTAACATAGATGTGTGTTATTCTAATTTACATTATGGAAATTTTGAAAAAATAAATTGTAGTTTGATACCTATAGAAGAATTTATTTGTAGAAAAATATTTTTATCCTGAATTGTAATTGTTTTCCATTACAGGTATCTGAATAGTTGATTAAATTGGTCACTATTTACTTATTGATTTATTTTTTCATTAAAACAATTATTTTCTAGATAATAAAAAGGAAGAATGTATTTTTCTTTGAAAAAGCTTGGATCATATTGCCAGGTGGAAACGATGGAATTACTTCAAATTCTTTCGCTAAGATTTTACAAATACATTCTTCCTCTTTAATGTCTGAGATTAACTCGGCGCCCAAATATTATGAAACTACTCGTTCAAATTTAGATGAAAGTTCTAATTCATTATTTTCTACTTTCAAAAAATAGAAAGATTCATTTATTAAATTAAAGATGTGATATATTTTGTATTCTTTCATTCTAATACTCAAAATATGAATGATTCATTATCAAATTAAGTCATTTTCTTTATAACTTAGATTATAAATTGTTAAATGGTTAGATGATTCAGTTACCAAGATACTCTAAAATTAGATGTCGTGCTTATTGGCAATTACTAACAGGTTATACCGTCAATAAGGTTTGACTATTATTATATAATGTTCTTAATTCTGATCCTTCAATCTAACGTTAACTAAATACTTCATCCTATAGAAAAATGATAGTTAACTATCAGTCCGACTGACAAGTTATCAGAAAAAAATTCCAAAATGTTTGTTGAAAATTGTTTGATACATTTTCTATCTTTATTATTCATTGAAGAAAATCCCATTAATAACTATAACTCTGTATATCTTAAAATGCAGATGTTTTACTAAGCTGAAACGATTTTCAATATTTTATTTTAATTCTCTCTATAGAATTGAAACAAGTAATTTTAAATGGAAATTAACCGTTAGTTGCCATCAGTCAACACACACCTGTAAATGAACATGTAAATTTGCTTAACAAATAAATGAATGTATAGAACAGAAACAAACAACAAAAAAAGAACAACTTCTGTTCATCTTTATCATTCTGTCTACTATTTCTATAAATTTTACAAGTGCTTTCTTTTTTAGTTTCTAAACATTTGTTCACATATGGCCAATACTAAATTATAGGCAAATAAAATACTACTATTCAATTTATCTATATAGTACATTGATGCACATATGCACACATATCATAATGCATAAATCATATAAACAATCAGTTATTGTTTTTTTTTCTTTCTTCATTTATTTGTGTTGTGCTGTAAAGAATTCACAGTTGTGCTTTGTTTTTTGTTGTTTTCTTTCATTGTGTTACTATAAGTTTTATGGATTGTAACATAAGATAAACTGAATTGTTCATTGGCTATTAAATCTTGTCTTGATTCTATTGTTCTTCATATCCTCCTTTCTCACATCCTTATTTCTTTCTTTTTTTTTCTCTACATCCTTACACTCATGGTTCTCTCTATAGCATAGATATTCTTAATGAAAATTCCAACACCTAAATATATACACATAGATATACGCACGGAATGACAAGTATCATAGTTATATAAAAGCGTGAAAATTGTTCACTGATCATAAAATAAACTATGAAACATTGAACAGATTAATAATCATGTTATGATTAACAGACAATCGAATTATTTCTATTTAATTATCAATTTGTACATAATTCTGATGAAGTTTTACCCAGTAAACACAAAACCGGGATGATAAAAATATTAGATACAGAGAATAATTCATGACTGGTGAGTTAAAGTCTGGTTACATTTCAGTTATCGTTCTGTTTGTAACTTACTATTTAATAAGTTTGAGAGGTAAAGCAAATTTATAAATAATGTATGGATTTATGTCAAGTAATTGTCGACAAGTTCGATTCGATGTACTTAAGATAGCTGACAGTAAAAATTGAAGGCGATGGACGACATGTCTTAATATTGGTCACAGTTGTGCAGATACATTCAATCTTTGCAGGCTGTTTGATGTCAACTTTAAAAATCGTTTCAAACATTTTATTCGACAGATTCATTCCCCTTAAATACTATGATATGTGCATAATCTTTTTACTACCACGGATACTACCAGAACTTCGGTATTTATCATAAGTTCGTTTTGTTGTCCTAATGCAGCGTGGCAATTTGTATTGATCTATGTTTGTATCAGTTTATTTGGTCCCTATGACTGATTAACAGTGAAGCTTAGGTTTTAATTGATATTTCTTAATGAAATCAGCTGTTCGAGGAAGTGGCTATCAGAACTCAGTAGCTAAGTGGATAACGAGATGGCGTTTGGAGCGAATGGTACTGGGTTCGAGTCCCAGAGTGGACATCAAATATGAGATGCAGGTACATCCAGCTGACGAGTCCCAAATAGGATGGGACGCGCATCCTGGATTCCACTGCTAGCCACTATTCATCTTGGCTTAGAAAAGCTTGTGAATTAAAGCGATATCGAAGCATACGCACAGTATGCACATATGCCAACCACAGACTGATCAATTGCAGTCTTAAACCTCAATGGGAAAATATAAGCAAAACAATATCAAGTGAATTTAACTTTGGGTTTGTAACGGGTGATAAGTACATTTCTAACATGTACAAGATTATATAATGATTTGAATTTGACGAATATCACTAGTTCAAACAAAACATAATGTAAATATCATAACATTCTTAGAGGCCGAAATATTATGCTTACCTTAGTAAGGTTTGTAGTGAGTCCAAATAAACCATTATCGTTATTGAGAAAGTTTTATTCTAAGTGTTTCATTATTTGTATACTGAAATTCATTTTTACAGCATTCTATTGACTATTGTTGTTCTAAAATTAATCATTCTCACAAATTTGGAAAGAAATCGGTGACGTAATTGTAATCTTAGAAACTAGAGGTATCATCTGTAGATTTGAACTCAACGCAATATATCATACATTAAAAAAAAATTTGTTCACGAATCGAATATTAAGTGGCCTGAAGAAAATGTAGGAATAATAAACAATCCCAGGAAGTTTCTAAATTTATTACGGATAATGAAAATAGTTTGCTTTCATTATACACTTTTCACAGTATCAGGCTATAAAATAACCATAGTGTTATACAATTTAACCCCTAAGTAGAATTCTTATTTGTGAATATGCTTTGATTAATATAGTACACTACTTTATAAGATATTAGTGGTGAATACTCTACACATCAGAAGATAGATTACTTCATTAATTTGGATAATTCTGATTCAAATATAAAATTTACTGGCATTAGAAAATCTCAAAAATTCCTAAATACATAAGCATGAATAATAAAATCATGAAACAAATAACATGACTCTAAGTAATTTTTATAATTTAATAATTGGGATCATGAGTCAATTGAAGCTAGATCACCATGGAAAACCTAGAAGCACTAGACGGCCGTTTCGTCCTATTGCGGGAATCCTCATCAGTGCGCATCCACGATCCCTCCCAGAGGAATTTGAATCCAGGACCTACCGGTTTGGCGCGAACGCTTAACCTCTAGACCACTGAGCTGGCACCCAAGAGTATTAATGTCTAACTTTAACCAATCCACGAAATTGTGTCACACATCAACCATTATCTCATAACAGACCCGGTTGAACTCCTTTGGTCATTGCTTCTCAATAGAACTAATGAACCAAGTAATCACATTATTCACTTAAATAAAATATTTTAATAATAAATTTGAATAGCAAATATTATTTTGGATTCCTTCTCACATCCTATAATTGTGGTTTTTATTGTATTCAATGAAAAACTTGAATTAAACATGAATAATTTTGCTTATAGAACAATCCAAGGGACTGCGTAGATGGGGGAAACTATTTTATGTTTCATAAAATCTCTATGTTAAATGTCATATATTAAAATAAATTCAGTAAATGTATTCAGTTGTTGGTACTTTTTGATAGATTATTATAAGGCAATAGGAATTTTGTATAACAAAATACAAGTCAATATATCAGGTATTTAAAGAAAATTATTTATAAATTTCTAGTAAATACATTAATTCTACGTCAAAAAAAAATTCAAAATAAAGCCTTTCAGCTGTTTATTTTTGAAAGATAATAGTTACAAGTGGATATCCTCATGCCATAGTTACTCATATCATATTACATAACGTTAGTTAGTTTTCTTCATCATTCATTCCTTGTCTGTAAAAAATGAATTTCATTTATCAAGTCTGTTTTTGCTAAACAAAAAGGCAATCTAGTAGAACATGAAAATTTGGAATGTATGGAATGCAAAATGTGTGTGTGTGTGTGCACGAAAGAGTGAATGTATATAGAAGTGTGTCAATTTTAAAATAGGTATATGTAACTTTTCAGTACCTTACAAAATGATTTCTAGCGTTGTTATCATTATCTTTTGAGAAAAAAAAACATTTCCTAAAAGATAACTATACGGAGCGAAAATTAGTATAAGCAAGCTTTTCTTCACAAACAATGATATACTTAATTTAAATACAATATTAACCCTTAAAAGAAAAGAAAATACATTGAATTCAAACGAGTTGCGTCGGTAACAGGTTTATATGAAACATTAAGTTTATGAAAGATATATACCATTTTTGGAAGAATAACCTCTTTTTAAATCGATTACTTTTAGGTTTTTCTTATATTCATAGTGCTTTTATTGTATTCTCGATAGCCATGTCCATTTGCCTATTCTACACAACGAACATCAACCTAATTATTGAAGTTCAAGAAACGTTATACGAAGAGAACGGGTTCTTAAATCACTCTAACATTATAATGTAGTGAACAGAACACGTGTGGGGAAAATCGAAAGGATTCAGCATAAAATTACAGAGTTACTCGGTAAAATAGAAAAACCATATAGTAAATCGTTAATTTGCAAAATATCAATCCACAATATCAAACCGGACTGTTCTTGTTGTTAATTTATTTTTTATTTATTTCAACACATAGATAATGGTACAAAGAGGCACCAAATACATATGCGCCACACAAATCTCATTCGATATGTGTGAGGGCTGTGATACTGCCCGGGTGCCCAAACCGAAGCAGGTGGTTTTCTTAGGGGGCCACACCCCGAGCCTTCGACCTGAAGGTCTGATCCACAAGGCAGTGGAGCATCGTAAGGAGATCAAGTCCCATGGAAGCCGGTAACCAACAATTGGTTTATTCGCCATTTGTTCCCGCAGGATACTGGAGCCCATGTGCACCATTGGTTTGGAATCCGGTTAAAGTGCCGGAAATTCGCTTTTCGTCCTCTCATTTTCGTAAACAACACCCCCGCCACGAGAAGGCAGTGGGTAGGACTTCCCTGGCAGAGGCTATATACGCGTGGCCGTGTGAGAGTATTTCGAGAGGGAGAGCGGACTCTCCCCACTCTCGGCCGTACCAGGGCATTTGGAGGCTAATATCAATCCATTGTCTCACATTTCATTGTTCATGCGTTTTTTTACAAATTGCATTATGTTCCCACTCTTCCTTTCTTGATGTTCCCCCTCTTCCTTTCTTGATGTTCCCCCATATTCTGCTGCCAGACATTACGTTTTTAACTCGCGTCATATAGTACTTACATCAATATCAGTAGCACGCACCACAATAATATAAATATAAAAACTCAAAGACAAAAAATATATTAGACGGTATAAAGGTATAAATCAGAAATGCTATGGATAGTTAAATGGTTGATTTCTTTGTTTATTACTGAAGACTCAAATAACAGCGACGTAATTTATCAATAAAATGGAAATATCAGAAAAGATAAAAAACAGATCAAGCAATAATCGGGATCACGAACTAAAACGAGTTGCTGTGAGGACTGTTTAACCGTTACTTATAGTTAATTAGTGCTTTTTAATCTACCCAATGTAATAATAAAAGTAGCTTATATAAAACAGTGATCAGTAAGGCAATAAACATACAGTTTTAACAAACAATTTAATTTATGATTAGATTTTGATAAAAGTTCATTAGCTCTTAATATGCAGTGAATTTAAGTTACGCTTTTTCAACAAGTTTAAAATGGTCATCGTTACTATTTTATCTGAAATTCGATCTACCCAATATGCAGATGATGATAGTTTCCTACTTAAACCCCGTAAGTTGAGAACGAATATTTTCCATTTTAACCTGTTTATTCTGATAGTTAGCTCCATTGGGTTAAGAATATTCTAATCTTAAATTTGAGCATCTAATTAAATTAACCGAAAATTCCATAGCATAGAACTAGGTTACTCATGAGTATTCGATAGCAGTCAAACTAAACAGATGCAGTTATTCGTTCGCGTATCAAATATGAATGATGAATTCAGGGAATATACTTAAAATGAGACTATTCCTCTACTTTGATCTCTATTTTTACATGTTGATGGGTAAATCTGACTTATGATCAATGAGTCATATCTAACTTACTGTTTATTTATCGGCTTACCTGTATCTATGACACTAGGTTCGCAAGTAATCAATTTATACCATTTCTTTGTATAATTTTAGGGTATTTGAAGAGCAGGTAGGCAGTACACCAATGAAGACCAATCATGCCTTTTATTTTTTAGTATTATTGTGACCAAAATGTTCATCCTTAAATTCATTCTTTGATATCGTCTATTTTATAAGTTGAAAGCCTTGATGAACTACATTCTTGTAACATAGTTATTCATACAAATGTAGCTAATTTTATCCATTTAACCACAATTAGCATGTAGTCAGTTATTAATCCGATAGTTAGTATCCTTACTCATATGATATGTCTTTATCTTTAATAACCTGTCTAAATAACTAAATATCGTAGAAAGGTTTTAACCATAACACATAACACTGATATTTTCATACATATGGTGCAGTGCGTGCTACTTATATTGATATAAGTAGTATATCATGCGAGTCAGAAATGTAATGCCTGGCAGCAGAAGATGAGGGAAGATCAAGAAAGCAAGAGCGGGAATATAATGCAATTTGTATGGAAATACAAGAACAATGAAGTCGGAGGCATTTTGAGACAATTGGTGGACATTTTACAAATTAACGATTTAATATATAGTTCTCGGATTTTATTGAGATGCTCTGTAATTTTGTGTCTAATTCATCCGATTGTCTCTACCCGTGTTCTGTTCACTTCGATAGTATCTAAAATAAGACTTGTATACTGGATTAGAGCTTTTGAAAACCTACTCTTAAAAAAGAATCTTGATGTGAAAGAGGTATTTTCTCAAGATTTATTCATCATAATTGGCATCATACAATAAAAAGTACTGAAATAAGTGAATAGAAAATGAGACTACATTCGTGTTTTTCATTCAAAGTACATTTGCTCAAATCGAAATAACACATTACTTTAATAAATATACTTAACATTTAAACATTCAAACGAACTCTGACGATTCAAAATTGTTTTCTTCAACTTAAACAATCGTCAAAAGTCAATTGATTGTTGTTTAGTAAAAGTTATAGACTGAAACTAAAAAAAAATTCTAACACAATCCGCTAGTAAAGTTTTTAAATTCTTAAGAGACTATATTATATAATATAAGATAGAAAGATATTTAAACACTAAATTAAGTATTTGCCGATATAACTGATAGTAATATACTTGGTAAGTCGTTTTTAAAAAATATTGGATAGATGATTATCGTCAATTAAAAGACATTACTAGTATATCCAGCTGGATTTCAGTAATATTCAACTTTCATGCTATTGGAAGTTTTCTTAATGTTGAACTGAAAATCCACGGCTTTAAAAAAATGTATACGTTAAGTTTTTCACTGCGTGACCTTATTCATTCGAGTTTATTCTCCATCAGCTGACTGCACAAGTTCAAATTTATTACTAAGTAAAAAATATTTTATAAGCAAAGATGAATAGTGGCTAGTAATGGAATCCAGGACGCGCGTTTCGTCCTATTTGGGACTCATCAGCCGGATATACCTGCATCTCAGAGTTGATGTTCACTATGGCATACGCACAGTATGCACATATGCCAATAACAGACTGATCAAATGTAGTCTTAAACCTCAATGGGAAGATAAATCCAAAACAATACCAAGTGAAAAGAATATTTTGTTAGTCAGGTCAAACACTAATGAGTATTAAGAATCTCTTTTAGATACTAAATAGTAAACATTTTAAAAATTAGATTGAACATTTTCTTTTTCAAAATGTTAAACATTTTCAATACACTGATAACTTAAACGTACTATCGTTTTGTAATATTTCTTTTTCTCTACAGAATAAAATGAAAATAATGTACAACGGTTGGATATGGCGAAAATATAATTCCCTTATATTTATTGTATTACTTACTGAACTTTATAAATATTTATGCAAATATTATTATCCAGATTTTTTGTATATCAATTTTCTGAATGGAGTTAATGGTCAATTAAATCTTTGGGTAGATCGTCAATTAGTAATACAGATTATTGAATCAATGCCACATAATCAAAATATCCCTAGTAAATTACGTTGTCCAAGAAGATTACCTGAAATTCATCGACATAGTAAGTTATATTCATATACCTTTGATCTCCTAAAGCTTATAAAAAATGTAAAATATTTAAAAATAAGCTAACTATGGAAATCTTTGATAGTCCCATATCAACATTACATATTCATAATTAATAGTAAATTCCAGCAAAACTATGATTTGATTTTGTTGTCAAAAAGCTATTACCAATACTTAAACATAATCAGAGTTTTGTTCAACAATGAAGAATTACTGAGTTCAAGTTTCACTGTTACCACTTGAATAGATATGTATGCGCATTATGGATCCCACTGATAAAAGCTATTCTAAACAAAGTATGCTCATTAAGATTGTTAACCATATGAGATCTAACTGATCAATGGTTCGTTTTTTTTCAATCTAAATAACATACTCACGGATATTGTAAGGATGAGTTGTGTAATTTTAAAATAAATCATTCAGATAATTTTATTTACGAAAACCAAACGAATAACAAACGGATGAGATAATTCAGTCATAGAATTGAGGTTTCAAAAATTAATTATTCATATTTGATTTATAATGTGAGATCTTTACTGTTTGCTGTTCATTTTTACCCCTAAAACTAATGTGACTAAAGGTGGAAATTATTCTTTCCCACGTTCGTCACTATAATTGTAGAGTGCATGTCGTCATCAGTCGACCAGATTCATTTTATATAGTGTGGTTTGCAAAAACAGTTAACTGAATAACCCATTTCAAATCTCCAAAATATATTCCAGTGGACAACTGTAATTTATTGACAACAAAACTCCGTGAATCAGTGAACAACATCACTTAGAAGTAGGAATTTTTTGAAAGCTATGGCTGAATAAACAGATGTGACACAAACTAATCAGTCATTCGAAGGTTAGTATTCTTAAATCGAGTATGAATCACTTTTTTGACCACCTCAATAACAAGTTCACCGAAGTTACAAAAACGTTCTGGATCACTTCATGTATGGTGGACGTGTAAGAAGACTATGGGTAAAATTGTACAGGATACATTTCGAGATTTCGTCAGTTTTTGTAAACATGTGTATTCGTTTACTTTTTGAAAGTTAGCTCTTTGAACACTATGGTAATACGATACCGTCGTATACTTATTGATTTTTATTTACAAAGTACCCGAACATTTGTTCCTTGTTTTCAATGGACTACTTTTACACGAAGCACTGGATCGCATTTCATTATCTGCCCATAGACCTATCCCTCCACGCATTGATATGTTGCGCGTTAAGTGGAGAGCTGGTTTTGAACGTGTAAGTAATTTAAATCCTACATTTTGTAAATCTGACGGCGATGTTTAAACTAAGTATGTAGACTTGTGTAAAACCGAGATCGCTAAATATGGCTTACCCACACATCAGTTAAAGTCACCCAATATGTGTATATAACTCCACGCGTTGGAATTATCTCATTTTCTTTTCCCATTCTTATCCCATTGATGTTGTTATATTTTCATGTTTTACCGATATTTCACTAGTGATTTGTTTACCATACCGTATTATAGATTGCTTTACAGTCAGTTATTCCTGCCTTATCCTAGCTGATATGTTCTACGTTTGGGATATACTACGCTGTCATATAAAACGATTCCAACAAGTAGATTCTCCTACGTTTGACCACAAATATGTCCTCACCTTAATCCTCGAAGAATAATCCCCTAACTGAAAATCCCTCAAACACTTGTAGCAAGTACATAATATACTTCAAGTTCTTAAATATGTTGAACAAATGCGAAGCTTTCTAAATAAATTGAGTAAGAACGCCAAAATGTTGGGAATGCTTCGAACTTCTTCCAAACGTAAAATATTGCTCGAAGACCGTTTCAAATTAAAATCTTATTCTGATCTTTGAGTAAAGTAGTCGACTATTTTGATCACTTGGTTCATATTGCGACTTTCTGTAATCTTATCGTAATATCTGGGGAGCTTCCAACCTGTATACAAAAAACGCATCTACCTCTCAACAGTCTAAGTCATCTATGTCTTATACTGTATTTAGGTTTGGTCACCTGGAAACAAGTATCCTGCTCAGAAGCTTTCTCGGTATTACTCCATGACCAGGGAAGAAAAACTTTAAAGGTACTCCATACGTGTCTCCTGATATGTATATTTGAAGCACTCTTCATGAATTCTGGAATTATCGGATGCGAGAATCCAGGAGGAGAATATTAACGAGATATTGCTTATCACTTGATATAATTGTTAAAATTTAACAGCTAAAATGTTTAAAAAAATAGTATTAAGCGAATCCCGTAACCCCACACCTTAACATGTTATTCTGATTAAAATGGAAATTAATTAAAAGTGAATCAGAAGTGGTCATGTCAAAATAACACCAGTCTATTAAGTGATTCAATAATGATATGAACTGTGTAGGAATATCCAAACAACTCGTTTACACTCCATATTATAATTATGATTAATAGTTTAAGTATTTAATTAATATAGATGAAAATCAGTCATAGTGAATCAGTGAAATTTATTTTCTATTCCCTCCTAACTTTGACTACAGTACTATCACTTCAGTTCTAGTGTTTAATTATATCTACCTTGACTGTATCGCTATTATGATGTTTTGTTTACTTTCTCATTACTATATGTATTATTATTTCCATATCATCTATCTTTGTTAACAGATTTTATTCAAACTAGGCTTTACATAATTATTTATTACCTTTAAGAGCATCTTAATTTTCCCAAATCTTTCAGTAGCTGGATGATCCAGCTACTGAAAGGTCTGGAAAATCAAACGACCGAAAGCAAATTCCCAAATCTATTTAACAGAAGTATTGTTTCTTTTTGTAACAAAATTACATAATAACAAATCAATGAAAATATCCTGTTATTTTCATTATTTGTTATTAATTTGATATATTACTTAAGAAAAATAAAAACAAGTGCTGTATTTCAATACAGTAAATTGTCTAAAATACATAAAATTACTAATTTATATTTTAAAATTAAAAAGAAAATTGTTTTAATGAAGAGACTATGGACAAGCCAATCAGATTTGGGATAACAGGTCTTGGATTTCGGCGCGAAATCCATTCATCCACTTAGCTAAATAAAGTTTTGACATTATAGTTGATGTCATTTCAGGAAAAAAAATGTTAAATCTAATTCCTAACCTTAATCATCAACTGTAAATTATAATTATAATTCCTCAAACAGATTTATAACACTCATTTGGTCCTAGGTATTAATTAGGTGGACAATCTCAAGGTCAGTCTAAGGTTGCTCAAAGGTCGTCCATAAATTAAAGTCTCACTGTTTTAATAATCTATTGTGTATTTAAGCTGATATAAACGTTCAATAAAAATAATAACCATTTTTTTAAAAATATTATGTTGTAAGACCATTCCTATTTGTTGAAACTTTAATGTCGGTTATATGATTAATATGCTTTTTATTGGTTTATTCATAGTTAACTTACAATATTGATTTGAAGTCAATGAACCATACACTATTGCATACTCCACTTCTAAATATTGCCAAATCTGGTTATATACCAGCTACTCAATCAGGTAATTTAAATGTTTTTTAAACACAAAACGAATCATTTCAATGTATTTTTTAAGAGACGATTTAATCGAAAAAATTTGATTGATAAATGTATTGTGAACCGTTACTATCAGTAATGACCAATATATTTGATGATTCTGTTATTGTACTCATAGGATATTTGCTCATTTACATTTGGTTAGTGAAATAGTATTCACAGTCATTTAAATGTACTACATGTTTTTTTTCTCTCGGAAATGAATCATAGTATGCTTCACATAAAACTGTTTATTATGAAAGAATTACTGTCTATGACTTGATTATCCTATCCCATTTTTGAAACAAGGGAAAAACTAACTAATAAAGATTTTTATGTGTATCCTCATCCAATAACGAATTGAGTGAAAAAAACCTGGATCCTGATAACATTTAGATTAATGGTCCCTGTGGAAAAAATATTGAAAGGTGGTAAGTGTGAAGGATAATTTTTTGATGGACTTATTTTCATAGCTATACATCCATGAATACATGGCTCGAAGAAAAGTGTCCAAGAACACAGGAGTTAAAGTAATTACACTAGTGAGTAGAGTGAAAAAAATGAGAGAGAAATTTAACTCATTCACTGCCAAGCTAATTTCATTTATTGATTATTAGCTTTATTCAACATTATGATTTTGGTGCAATATAGTATTCTCAGTACAAATTATTTAAACGAATTTCCGTTTCTTACTTCTTGGTCGATTCTGACGATAAATATTGAGTGATCGCCGGCTAGAAGTTAACAGTCTAGTAAATCGACATCGAAATAATGTACATTCTATTCACTGCATATTGCCAACAACCCCGATATCTCTAATTTGGCCTTTTATTACTTGTACAACGAAAGACTGTACACTTTTCAGAAACGCACCTGAATAGTTTATGCGATTAATAGATATAATGATGTATTAAAACAAACAAAAATAGATAACTTGTCGAAATATCTAGATGGCAGGAGCAGGTAGACTATGTGTTGAAACAGTCAACCAAATATAGCACGTGGATCAAATGGGCTTCCTAACCAAATACTAAGAAATACAATAAATCTACAGCAAATTTATTCCCAAAAGTGATTTATGTATATCCAAAACATGACTATTGTTAAGCAGAATCTAGAATCGTATCCTTTAACTTATGAGATCCAAAAACATACAATGATCGCACTATTAAATGGAAAATTAAAACCTTTAAATGAATCTTACAAACCAACAGACACCTTAGTTAAATTTACTTATCAATCAAAACATGACACGAATGCAATAGAGCCTCGCAATTCAAAGCCTGCGAAAAATCTGCAAATGGAAATATTCTTCTCAAATGCATATCGAGACCACCAAGCAAAACCTTCTGTGCTGTAAGTCTCTAAATTTTAATTTCATACTAACAGATGATATATCAATAAGTGGTAGACAAACAAGAGCACTTTAATGTGCGTTTATACATATACTTACTTCTATAAAGTCCAACAGGTTGACTATATAGTGTATCTTCCTGCCATTTGTGTTCGACAACGATCCTGTATTGTTGACAATACATTCTAATTAATTATTTTCAGTTTGACTGTTAAACGACATAAGAACTCAGGAAATTCGCAATATATTGACAAATTATACAAGGCTTCATGTCGTTCGATGAAATTGTTTAAAGAAACCAAAACTGAGATATCTATGCACTACGAAGTGGAAATTTCCTCCACCCCATTACTTTAGGATGAAATGAGTACATTTAAAGATATTTTATGGTTACATACCTCATAAAATTACTTTTATTCCATTGTAAGTTCTCAATGTAAATTCATTACCAAAAATGTATTGAGATGTATTTCTAAACTGGTATTAGAATATTCTTATTTTAACTATTCATTAATGATTCCACAGATTGAAATCATGAGTCAATTGAAGCTAGGTTTCGCGCGTGAGATATCAGCTCACTGAAGACAATGATATACGGTGGCGCAACTTCGTGGATTGGTTGAAGTTAGACATTAACACCATTGGATACCGGACGGCTCAGTGGTCTATTTGGTTAAGCGCTTTGCGCGAGGCCGAAAGGTTCTGGGTTAAAATCCCGCTGGGTGCGTGATCGTGGATGCGCACCGCTGAGGACTGGGCGAGGTTTGCCATGGTGGTCTAGCTTCAATTGACTCATGATTTCAACCTGTAAATTTCTAAAAATCTCCACAAACCCCATTCTGATATTCATTAATGAGTTAATGATCATTTTCGGTTATAACCACAAAAATAAACAAGTTATAGAAGTATATCTTTATATAAGATTAAATACACACAAAAATCATACTACATTTTAGAAATATAACAAACAACCATAGAACATAACAATTAATTGTTTGTTTTTTCTCTACTGATTTTCAGATGTACAAATTTCCCTACCATGTACTGGAAGATTTACTGGTATAGCTCCATTTCAAGTAAGATTAGATGTTCAAAGAGAATTTGAAGGTTTAAGAAAAATTCCACCAATTTCATTTATCGTATACAAATATTGTCTTAGTGCATGTAAGTTATGAAGATATATATATTGATTTTATTTCATATTAATCGATAAAATTTCTGGAAACATCCTATAATGAACTTATTTGATAAGTGATATGAAGCAGTAAGTAGGAAGCTATACATTTAAGTCTCGTGCCAGTAGCCACTCTTTACAGCGGTTATTAAATGCATAGATTTAATACCATTAGAATGATGAGTTGAAATATTTATCATAAATCACAAAAAAAGTTTGAATGTCTGTTCGGTATTCAAAAGGATTAAAACATCTTTTTGAACTGAAGATATATTTACAAAATAAGTTAACATTACTTTCGTTCAATAGTGTTATATAAATTACTCCTAAATTATCATTAGTTAGATAGCATACAATGATTATAAATAGTGAATACCATTGATATGAATAGTTCGTATAGAAGAGCAACTTATTACATGTGAACTGATAAGTCGACAATTAGTTTAACCTTGATAATGAACAATAAATTGAGTAATTAAAAGAATATCTCCTTTGCAATAATTAGTAGGTAAAACCAATTCAAATAATAAACCATCAGAAAACTAGTGAAAAAAGAGCTTAAGAGGATGGCATTCCTACTAGCGATGATCAGATGTTAGTTTAGCATGCTGATGGCAAAATTAATGTAAGACCTCAAACACTCATTCAGGTTAATGCAATTGGAGACAAAAAAATTGGGTTTTTTTTCATTTGAAGCGGAAAAAATGGGTCTGCAAGCAGACACACCAATCACAAAAAGGAAACGTGAAATACCAAAGCCAGTTACATAATTATTATTTATTTACTTATCTGAACACACAAATATTGGTACGAAGGGGCATGAGATATATATATACGCCAAACAATGAGAATGTGTAGATATAAAAAATGTAAGGTGTGTATAAGAAAAAAGAAGTACAACAATGAACAGAAATTAGTGTATGATAGTGAAATAACAATAACGGGAGGGGCAGTTCAATTAGAAAAGTACGGCCTCAGATAATTCTTCGACTTAATGAAGTTACGTCATTTGTATGAAGAAAGTAAAATAAGGCTACAGCAGGATCACTAATGACTTCCGTTCCGAGCAATTTCTGATAACATACCTAGACACTGTGTTACACCATCTCCAGGACCCCAACCAGGAAGTCGTGAAGGAAAAACATAGGCAGTCCTGTACAGCTTTCTTTCATACCACCACACAATGTCATACACTGACCACCTCTCCGCCTTTTCCAACCAGTCCCAGAGTCGGCAAATAATGCACGACGTGTAGTTCTCTGGGACCACATTCGTAGAACATGTCCAAGCCATTGAAGTCGATGTTTTAAGATAGTGACAGCAATAAACTTATCGTCTTTGTGCCCGAACACACGATGCTGAACCTCTGCACTACTAACATGATGTTGCCACTGGATGTCATCAATGCTTCGGAGACAACGATAATCAAACACATATAATTGTATAACAACATCCAGGGTGAGTACAGGATTAGAATCCTGCCAGTCTTGTAGAAGTACTTTGCACTTCGAAGGTGCAAAGCACATAGCGTACCTACGGGCATTAATTGCCAACTGATTAAGTGCGGATTGCATGGCTTGAGCATTATCACACAGTAAGACAATATCACCCGCATACTCAAGGTCGAGAAGTCTTTCTCCAGACAACAGGTCCACACTGCCATCACTTACATCCATCAGGGCTGTTTTCAGGACGTCATCAATGGCAAAGTTGAAGAGGAATGGTGAAATTGGACGACCCTGTCTAACCCCACTTCCTAAATGGAACAATGGAAAGAGGTGGTTGTATGCCCTCACTCTGCCTAAGGTGTTTGTATATAGGGCTTTTAAAATGGTAATAAACTTCTCAGGCACACCCTTCTTCAATAGACAATCCCAGAGAACGGTCCTGTCCAGCGAATTGAAGGCAACCCTGATGTCAAGAAACACTACGATTGTTGGCCTTTGATAAGTATGATGGTGTTCCAACATTTGTCGGAGGGTGAAGATATGATCAATACATCCTCGACCATAACGAAAACCAGCCTGCTCCTCGCGAGCCAACCTTTCTCGAGTTTTGAACAATCTACAAATTATGACGGAACCCAATAGTTTGGACGCGATCTAGAGTAGATTCATCCCTCGACGATCTTTGCTGAAACGGCGTGAACATTTTTAAAGATAGGGACAACTATCAACTCATTCCATGAATTTGGAAAACACTAGTACGACAACGTTTGCAAATAACTCAGTTCCTTAACCCAAAGGTCATCACCACCTATAAAATGGCCGGAGGTAAGTCCTCTGGACCTGGTGATTTGTAGCGCTTCAACAGTTGCAGTTCCTTGCGGACTGCCGCCTTATTTGATGGATCAGTCCTCACGGGCCATAGAGGGCAGGACAGTCTAATCGATGTTGCCGACACAGCAGACCAATTGGACTGCCACTCGAAAAGATCTGAACATCGTCCTAAACGTCGATAGATGTTAGTGACTGGCATCCCGTTATCCCCACAGATTGTTTCGCTCACACCAGACTTTCTTGCTGCCAGTGGCTCGGATGAGTTGGAAGAGCTCCCGGTATTTACCGGGTGCAGCTGCTGCTTCCAACTCATTGACAGGCCCCGACCATCAGGTTTCTCGGTCCTCAATCAAGCTATGTCCAATTTCATTACGTAGCAGTCGTCATTTGTGGTCAAACGCACGGTCACCCGGAGTAGACCGACGGGTTTCAATCAGTCGTAGGAGCCTAAAGAAACCAGTGCTTATAAGCGGGATATTTCGCGAAGCCGGTGGTATGTTAACTAGCACAGAACCTAGTTCGGTTTGATATTTAGTTGCAACCAATTTACTGACATCGATCAGTTTAGGACGATGAATCTGTTGGCCACTGAAAAGTAAGATAAGATTTTCGCAAACAAGGGTGTGATCAGAGTTCAGATACATATACCAAAAGGAGCCGCAGCCTTGTACACAATCACGCGAGCGGCAGCTGATCGCCATGTGATCAACCTGAGTCCAGGCTTGATATGCAGAGGAAGGAAGCCAGGTGGTACATCGACGATGACTGTGCTAGTAGTTATTACTAGCCAGAAACAGGTTGTGGTTTGTGCATAGTTGCAGTAGACGGTCCCCGTTATCTGTCCTGCGACCAACAAGTCCCCATTGATTTTATTTATTTATTTGAACACATAAATATTGGTACAAGAGAGCGCCAATATATATGCGTCCCCATTGACCACATAAACGATTCTCTTCTGTGCCTAGACGCCCGACCTCAGCATTCAAGTCTCCGGCTAGTACTACAATATCTGTCGAACGCACCTTCTGTGTAAGAACTGTAAAATGGTGGTGAAAGATCCTTGATTGCATCCTGGGTGCAATCTGTCGGAGCATAGGTGGAGATGACGAAAAGACATCGTTTCTCACGCCGATTTCTTCTCACTTTGATGGAACTTTCTAATCTAACAGTAAATAATCGACTATTAATGGAGATCCAATCGATCAGTACTTTCTCAAGTCTAACGCTTGGTGTGATACCAATGCAAGCAAGGCCAGAAGATGGCACAGGGTCCCCGAATATATGCACGTGAAACAAGCTTTACGAAGCGACAAACGGAGAGCGAATTTATAGTACTTCCCTAGAGTCTTGAATATGGGTGTCGGATAGACAACAGATGTCGATATTAAAACTTTCTGAAGGCCTAGCCAACCCTATCTGTTGTCTGATCTGCATTAGGGTCAGAAAGTTGAAGGAAGCCAGTTTGAATGGTATACATCGTTTTAGAAATACTGTTTCAGTATTCGCAATCGGTGGAAGCATTCAACTTTCGAAAAGTCAGTAACTCGAGATCGTTTAGACAGAACATGGTTCCCACAATAGGCTAGTTGCTATATAAACTGAAATATAAGGATACACAATGTGGGAATAAAAGAGTAGATAAGTGACGTAGTATATAAAAAAACTGTGTTATTAAAAAGATGTGGGTTGTCTAGATTTTAACTGGATCAAGAACTGTATTTCCAGAAATTACTGTCATTTCCTTTCATTTGTGTGTGGGCTGACACTGCCCGGGTGCCCAGACCGAAGCAGGTGGTTTTTCTATGGGGCCACACGGCGAGCCTTTGCCATAATAATCTAACCTACAAGGCAGTTGACCAACGTCAGGAGATGCAGTCTAATGGTAACCGGTGACCAACAATAGGTTCACACGCCATTTGTTATTCTGGGATAGTGGGGCTCATTGCTTGGAATTAGAGTTTTCCAACTCCCCTATGTGGACCCTCCGTGTCCACCAACCCGGTTAAGGGGCCAGACATCTGCTTCCCGTACTCTCAACAACACTCCCGCTACGAGATGGCAGTGAGTAGGACTTCCCTGGCAGTGACTATATACGCGTGACCATGTGAGAGCATTTCGAGAGGGAGAGCTTACTCTCCCCACTCTCGGCCGTACCATGACACTTGCGGCTACTTATACCCCTCAATAACATGATCTAACAACCTCGATCAATACAATTCCGTTATATGATAGGGGAACTCTTTTTTTTAACTCAGACCTATATGGTTAACCCTAACATAGTTCACTTGTAGCTTTGACAAAAAGTTGACAATGCTTCCAATATATATTTAACTTAAACATAATTTGCAGCGTTAACACCTACGCCTCAGATGCAGAATATTAATGGAATAAAAGGAATGGATCCATACAATGTTTAATGCCATTTTACAAGCATATAGATTTAAAGATTAGTGATGGAGATCCATTTCAGCAACATCTGCAAAATATTCACAAAATTAACAATCAAGGTAAATACAAAAAATACAACCACTCTTGAAATTTAAGAATAGCGAGACAACCATTTATCATTATTAAACTAGTGGTAAATTTGTTCACGAACAAAAACATTAATTTGGGAGAACGCTTCTTTGACACAACTTATGATCATCATATTCCTGCTTGTCTTCTCTAAATTTCATTTCCATTGACCATTTTATGTGGATAGCACTGTATAAAGACGAACATATAATAACGCAAAGTAATTATATTATTCTATCCTCTTCTCTTTCAATTAGCTCAACACACGCGATTCATTATCAAATGCGAATGTCGCGCTCAATGCTTACAATCAAACACATACAACCACCGACATCCAATTCGAAAGCGCTGTATCCGACGTTGCAGAAAACGTTTTGGACTAAATAATCCAAACCCGAGACAGAATAAATGAAAACCAATATTCGAAGGACAAAGACGAAGACATTGTAGAGAACTAGTTTTTCATTTTGACAGTTATCAACATACATGATAAATTTTTTAAAACTGATAAACATTTAAGTGCTTCTGAAAAACCTAACGTAATGAAGTTCCTCTTTTCCAAAAATTGGAAATTAAATCTATCAAGATTTACTTTAGATAATATTATACCTGTAGCACGAATCTAAAAGTGTAACAATAGTGATATCTCAATAACCTAAATTCAAGGTGTGAACATTAATTGTTATTAAATTAATTATACTACTTTTAACTAACAAATAGTATAACTGTCGTTTAACAAGCTGCAGAGCAGAAAACATGGGCATTCGTTGTGTTATTTTATTTTGAGTAGAAAACAAATAGAAACACATTTGAATTTATTGATTTGGAAGACATGAGAAGGACAACGATAAGGTACAAACAGAATGAATTTATGGTGAGAACAATAAACTTTTGTAGGATCTTTACTGCTTCAGTTTCAGAAAGTTGACCGTCACCCCAACAGCAATCTTAACTCCAAACTAAATATTTTCATGTCATACTATGTAGGATGTATTCACTAAAAAACTAAAAATTTTCAGTTCGAGAATATCTAGTGGTAAATAAAATATTCTACAATTGAGACTTGAAAAGTCACTGTATTCAGTTAGCTTTTAGTGTACAGCAGTGAGTAATTTGAGAACCATTTCAATCATGCACTGACAAACTGAAGGAATACCGTGTTCACAAGTGTTGAAACCAGTAGGAAATGGCAGAATAATTACATATAATTATCATCTACACCATTCATATGCAAACATGAACCAATCATAGAATAGATTCTCTCAACGAATTTGAATAAATCCAGGACGATAACTGAAGCAGAACAATATAATTTCACTACATATTGTGATCTCATTAACTTTGAAGCAGAATAAAAACAACATTTACTTATGAGTTATATTTTGCTTGATATTCCCACTGTTTTTGTGTGCTCAGTAAAAAAAATGCTGTGGAAATCCATTTTTCCGTTAAAAATTGTTCAAGCTTCTCCTTTGGAAAGAATCTACGAATATGGGTTGGTGAAATCGCTCGCCTGGAGCATCTTGGACAAGTGTTATAAATTAGACCAAAACAGTTATAAGTACCTTTGTGATACACCTTTTTAGCTTATTATTTTTATCCCCGAGATCTAGAAAGCGAAACTTTATTAAATAAGAAATTCTACTTCAAAATGTGCTTCAGTGAAAAAATTAAGTACACACGTGGGATGTCCAACATGATTAGACGTAAAAAAATGTATTACTAAGATAACTACAGTAGAATGTTGTCTTATAAATTTTGTTCTTTATCTGTGTTTGTTCAATATTTCTCATCAAGACATTATCCTTTAATATGATTTAATTTGTAAGCAACTGCGGTCGCCCATGAGACATAACGACTTATAGGAAAGGAAACCATTATCGATTGAGACGAATTTCCGTCGCATTAAATTGTTTGGTGTGAACTATGCTCATGGAATTCTAATACATTTTTACTATGATTTCCACTGTGTGACAAAAAAGTCAGTACATAAATTCTAACCATTATACTTGATATACAAAAGATCAATTTAAGTGTGTTTTTAATTGATACATTGAGGTTATGATCAAAAAGCTCCAACTACTTAACTGATCCTCTTGACTCTAGTTAGCAGGATAAGAAAGAAGAGGATAGAAGTTATGTTGTTGACTGTAATGAAGTCGGAGTTCAGAAATATTAACATAGTGTACAAATAAAAAAGTTTTTGAATACTAACAATAATAATAATAATCTAATAACATAATTCATATACTGTTTTTAAAATCTCTTTTACAAAAGGAAGTGTTAAAATACAGGAATAGATTTAAATGAATCTGAATTACTTTCAGCTTGATTAACATTAAAACATGAATTTTCTGCTTTTAAAACATGTTTTATGAAAGTCTCAAAATATTCAATTGAAGACCTTAAAGAAGTATTCTTAAATGATAATAAATGTCTATCATTGGATGAAATATTTTCATCATTATTACCACAATCATGATCATTATTTGTTACAGAAGAAAGCTGTTCTACAAGTTCATTTAATGTTGGTACATTAAATGGATCAAGTTTATCGACTTCTTGTGGATTAAATGGTATACATATATAACCAGTTTTCGGATGCACACAAAATGGACTCTTCAGTAAATGATTAAGACCTATAAGGAATGACGGTTAATAGAAACCCAATAAGATAAAAAACAATAAAGTGGAAAAAATCTCCGAATATTAAAACTTATTTAAAGTTACCTCGAATTAAAATGTTTTTGATAGTTCTAAGTTCTCTGAGTTAAGTGGTTTAGTTGAAAAATCTTCGATGTTATCCTGGACAGTATCAATAGTCCCTAATTCTAGTATAAATTGGCTTTTTGATTAAATCGCAAGCACTATGTCAGTTCTTTCTGATGATTTTCTTTATGACTCATCGTATTCCTAGGAGTTATTATTTTTTACCTACTCACTATGTTGCCACTGTTTTCCTGTGTTGATCTCTAATCGTGTAATTTCATCTATGTCGATGTGTTTATCGATTTAAAATCGGACAAAATGGTCGCTGGAATTATTGGACTTACCTCGATTCAGTATTTTGACATTTTCTTCATCAAATGTAGGCCGGCCATAGCTCCTACCTTCACGCGGCGATCGGGCTTGCCCATCGTGATGACTTAACCGAGCTACATTGACTGGGACACATGTCCCTTTGGGTCCTACCAGGTCAGACAGGTCGGTCGAAGAACGGTGAGACTAAAAGAAGCCCAAGGACGAAGTCGTACTGCTGACCATAGAGGGGTGTGACAACAGTAAGGCGTTCCCTCGGATAACCAGCATCTGCAGCGATGCTGCCTTCTCACGAAAAAGGGGCAAGAAAAGGCCGACCTCAAATATATTACATCTCACTTTACTCCACGAATTTCCATCTCCGATGGTAAGGCCTTCTGAAGTAGAGAGCTAGAACACCAATTTTTATGAAAAAAATATCGTGCGAGACCGACCTCAAGCAGTTGTCTTCTGGGCTTTGAAGTTACGCTCTCAGGTCCCTAAGACAATCACTAATTCAGGTCCCCCAAATAAAACCCTTCCACAGTGTGGGCGACCGGGAATTAACAACTGCTCTCACACTTCTATCAGCACCCAAAATCATCTTGTTGACTATCGCGTCCCTCCCTGACATTTTAATAAACCTTGTATCCCTACGACTAACCCTTTTTACTTAACCTTACCACCATGCACCAGAAAGGTTAACAACTAGAATTCACGAAATATTATTCCTGGTCTCCTAAAACCGCTCTCTAAACTGAATGATAAAGCTTTTAATGTCCGACTGAAGACTGTCGATCATTCTGGAACACATTTTTTAGACTCAAACCGTGCTTTAATTCGAGCATGTATTTGTTTGTGTCTTACGGGACGTAGAAAGGCCACAGAAAGAAAACCCCTTAGGGTACAACTTAATGATGAAAAAGTTACGAATACATTTCAGAATCAGCAAGAGGAGCTGCTTAACCTTATAAATGATATTCACTCTGAGGTAGCTTGGTATGATAACCAAAAAGCTGCAGAAACAGCGGTAATATATACTAGTAGCTTAAACCAAAAGATTGGGAAAAATCAGTGGATTTCATAGGCGTCTACAGAACTGATAAATACTTGAGAACTCACCCCGTCTGGCTCAGAACATGATGAAGAGCTGAGGCGGCTTAAGCGTAGATCGATAGAAAACATATATGATGATCGTGAGTAGTGGTGGGCAGCGAATGCAGAAGAGATGGAAAAGGCAGCAGCGATAGGTAACAATAAACAACTGTTCACACTTATCAAGGAAGCGCGTATTAAAAATACGATGTTAGTGAGACTGTATAGGAAAAAGTCAAGACTATTGTTCTTTCTCAATCCAGGAGGTCGAACCGAAGAGCAGAACACTTTAAAGAACAGTTAAACTGGCCTTCAGTTACCCACTATCTCTAAGCAATCTGAATGCCAAACTGATGTAAGCCCTTCAACTCTTAGTGAGGTTGAAAAGGCTAATTTAAAGCAAGGGAGAGCAACGGAGCTTGACGGACTAACCCCTGAAACTTTCAATAATGGCAGTTCAGTTTTAGCAGTTGGATAAACTGAAATCTTAGCTAAGTTATGGGAACTGGACGTAACCCCATTTGACTAGTCTTAACCGTCCCAATTTATAAGAAAAAACAAAAATCCTCTTGTGACAATCACGGAGGAATCAGTTTAACTAATGTAGCGTCTAAAATATTAGCCACAATAATACTTCGATGTTTAACTGGAATTTCCGAAAAGCAAACTCGAGAATACCAGTTTGGTTTCAGACCTGAATGTGGATATATAGACCAAATAATCGCTTTTCAGCAGATTCTGGAATATAGACATACTTTACGACATCCTACCATAGTTGTATTTCTTGACTTTAAGGCAGTGTTTGACTCTGTTGATCGTGAGGCTTTATGTCATTGTTTGTCATTGAAAGACGTAGCAAAGAGGTATATTAATCTTTTACAGGCTCTCCACTCGAACACTTCTGGTCGAGTCAGAGCTTATGGTGAACTTTTAGTGCCCCAGTATCTGACTCCAGTTAGATCGTTTGCTGATTGCTGTCGAAATATACATGCCGCCAATCCTCGTATATAATTATCGAATTAAATCGTGTTAGCGAATAAGGGGATTAAATAAGTCGAATAAAAGAATGAATTATGAATTCTTATATTTCATACAATCATGGATCTGGATATACAATCAAGGAAACGAAGTGGAAAAAGAGATGAGCAAAGCGGAACGAAATGATGCTCAATGGAGAAGGCAAGTGAGCCAGCACGATTTAACTAAGCGTGAATCTATATTTATAGTCAGATAAAAATAACCTACAGACATGTGACGAGTAGGATAAGCAATGTATACACACCCTCACATAAAAACGATCAAGGCTGACAAGTGAATAAGTGACAAAGTGAAAATTTGGCTTGAGAAGAATGAATAGACTGGGCTATCCAGGGGCTAGAATAACCTATGTGGGCTTGACATAGTACCAGCCCCTACAAACTATCATCGGAACTAGTTACTTCAAGCGGCGTTCGTCAGGGTGGTCTGTTTTCTCAATATTTGTTTAACTTTGTCACAGACATGCATTTGGAAACAACACTTCCATCGTCTGATTCTTCAAGCGTTGGTCTTCTACCAAGATTTACTTGTTGACCTAGAGTATGCATATGATATAGTACTGTTTGAAGACACTGGCAAAATGCAGTCTTCTGACCACACTACAAACATATTTGGGATGTGGTTCTCACCCCCAAATGAAAAATGTTACTTCAGGACTGGCGGGTGTCAGTGATTGAATTGATGATAGGGAATGAAGTAGCTGAGCGTATCGACAACCTCACTTATCTTGGAGATCGGGTTAGTCCCAGTGAACTGGTGTCTGACGAAACACCGGCACCGATTCAAAAATCTCGATTGGGTTTTGCCAATATGCGTTACTTGTGGCGTAGGTGAGGTATCTGTTTACCAACTAAAACATGTTTACTGCACGGCAGTTCACTCCGTTCTGCTTTGTGAATGTGAAACATAGTTGTTAGGAGTAGAGGTTACCATTATTGGATCATAGGTGTCTTAGAAGCATTGTTTGTGTACTTTGGGACCAGCGAGTAAGCAATGGCTAGGTTAGGAATAAAGCAACAGGAAAACCAGTTGATGAGGTAGTCAACCTTCATTAATTGAGTTGGTTAGGACGTGTTACATATGCCTAGCAACCGCCCACCACAACGGCCGATGTTCTCTGGTGTAGGGGTAGGCACGAAGAGAGCTAGGAGAGGTCAAAATAAAGCATGGCATTAAATCATCAAGTCGTTAACAGTTGAACTGAGCCATTTTGGTGCAGACTACCTTGTTGGGGTCCGCGTGACTATCGTAACCAATGGTAAGAGACTGAATTACATGGCTCAAAATCGTTCTCAATGGCACGGGTGCATCCATTCCCGTCCGTTGCTGCTATCTTGACGTGGTGGTCGGGCTTGCCTATCGTAATGAAAAAATCGAGCTATACTGGCTGGAGCAATCGTTTCTCAAGGTCCTACTATACCAGACAGGTTGATTGAAGAGCGGTAAGATTGAAAGCAGTCAAATGATTCATCTAGTAGGTCGTTAAGACTTATTACGACCGGTATGCTTGGGAATGATATGAATATCATTCCAATATATATTAAGTGAGAATATACCGTACCGAAGTACTCCCGTAAGTTGAATAAAAAATAAGGTCATTTTGACTACGCATCTGTACATCTAATGAGTAAATGGTCATCTGCTCAAAAACTTGCTCCTTTTATAGTTAATAGTAAAATAAAAGATCAGTGGCATTAATGAACATGAATAAAACAATTTACTGTAAACTCTAAAAGCCGAGAACCCGAGTGAAGAATTAAATCGTACAAATGAATTCTATTCAATGATCAGTAGAAGTGTGATGAAAAGATAGTGCATTACCACTAGCCAAAATTGCATGGCTTGCTTACTTGAACTATCTTGCTTCAAGTATCCTAACTGATACTTACTATGTGATTTTTAGATTGTGATTATGGACATGCTGTTTAACAAAACATGTAATTGATAAAATAACTATACATGTGTAAACATGATGCTTAGTAACTTAACGTCAATATGACGTGGCAAACGAACCGGTAAAATGACTTTACCTGTTGACACATTAACATCTAGTCTAGGGTATGTGAAATTTAAGACTATTTCCTTCAAAATATTTGCGCGACCATTTTCTTTCAAAAACTTTCTTAATGTGTTCCATCTTTTTGTAGATACTTCTTCTTTGTTTTCTTGAGTATCGGTAGACCACTCATCTAAAAGTCGTTCACGAAGATCTTTTAACTCAACCGGTAAAAATGACAGTAACTTATCCAGACGTTTTTTATTTCCGAATAAATTTTGACCATTTGTTGTACTGCAATAAGTTGTGAATCGAGGCATCAATATATCACAAGCTGCATCCACACAAGGATGAAAAATTGGCTCAATATTCCCATGTGAATGTGAATCATGAGATTTTGAGAAGTTACCAGCAGTAAGTGTGGGCTAGTTGAAAATTTTAATGAATATAAATCTATAAGGTTATTTCGAGGTTATTTCAACAATTTTTTTTTAATTCGAATTAATCAATTCATTAAAAACAAATCGCACAATATACATTTAGTGATATAATTTTTTTAAAAAACAGAATGAGCGAACAAAAATACTAACAATGCGGAAAGTAATATAGTGAGATTTTAGAAACTAGAAATATTATCATAGCATCTAGGTATAGTCGTAGCTACATTTTGGTTGAGAAAGTCAAGAAAGGTCAGTAGTGTGACATGAAGACCTAGATCCTTCAATCACCCTATGTGGATGCACATGAATAACTACTAAGCGTATAAAGAACAATATCACTCCGAACAGGGAGACCCGATGTGTAATAGGTCTATCTAGAGATATCACAATAATATTAATCTGACGGTAAAAGACCAAATGTTGAACACTTTGGTGCAAACGTAATGGTTTAATTGCACCATCTCTGCCTAGGTCGATAGATCATGACCATGTAATTCAGTTATATGAAAACTAACTAGACATAGTTAATGACAGGAACGAATTATCTTTTACGTTCTTCATTAGTAGTAAGATAACATTTAAAAAGCGAATATAATTTGATTTTTATGACCACCCCTAGTGCCATTATTTCTGTTAGTACATTGCTAGCTTCACACTTTTTTATAAAACCATCGCCACTTCTATAAAACATCTACTGTTGCTTCAATAAACCAAGCTCATTTGTTCTAAAGAGTCAAATACGTTTAGGGCTAGAATATTTTGGTTGATCGATCAAGCTATGAACACTGAGGAGCCATCATTCACTCTGTTTTAACTGCTGATCCTACGAACTGTAGCAATTACTTTTGAGTAGGTAAAAAAATTACTGTGAACAGAAACAAGGATAGTTATATGTGAGAAAGCATGTAAACGATTTTTTATGCATTCTTGGTAAAATACATGTTTTAAGAATTACCCAAAGTCACCTATTTTTCGGCTATAAACCTTACGAAAAAATTCCTGCGAAACAATCTGGTATACAGAAAGGCGAACGTAGAGGGAAGTTTGAATCCTTTTGTGCATCAAACAAGAGTATTCATTTGATAGTCTCCTCAGCATAACTCCTAATAAAACAATTTCTCGACATTCTTCATTAACTTTTCACACGTAACGAAAAGCAAACATAAAAATTTAACCAAGGTCAGTAGCGTTCGTGTTTCAACCTTAAAATGTTGAATATCAAATCTAATAATAACCGACTGACTGGTTTTTGATACTAATTAAATGTATCCTTAGCCTTAATATTGTTCTTTATAATCTTAATGAGCACCACTGTTGGAAATACAAGTGTGGTGTTCATAAGCATTTCTTCTAAAGTCAAAGTCTACACAATAAGAATTAAAAATGGTAGAATTACCTTCTTACCGTTACCCCCTCTAACCAAAGTTAAATATTCCGCGATAGCTGTACGCGAAGTTTGATCTAAATGCCGAGCTGAACGATCACATACCCAGCAATGAACTCCACGACGACCTGAATACACCCACAATAAATGCTGGAACCCAAAGTCTTCTCTTAAGGCACGGTCGATACAGAGGACTGCAAAACGAGCAAGTTGCCAGCATCGAAGGCAAATAGAAGATCCAGAAGTACTTTGTTCACCACAACAATAACGAACTTCATCATAATCAGTCAAATCAATATCGAAAACTAATTCTTTCCATTCAGGCTAATTATAAAAGAAAATCATACGCATATGTATACGGTTTACAGAGATAATTGTGCTCAGCTCCATGTGACCTGTACTTCTAAGTAATACAAGTGTTTAAGGTTTTGTGTTTCAGTAAAAACAGATACATAACTGTCAAACAAAACCATATATTACTATCACAAGCAGTGATAATTCCCATTTTTAGCCGACTGTTTATTATATGATATAAGGACCTTGATTTCAATCACTGAATTACAGCCCGATATCTTCCTCAATGATCCCAATACAAGTACAAGATTAGTGTTTTAGCCCAGAAACAAAGTTTCAAATTTAAAAATTGAACCTGGAGCTGAAATATCAACTACAAAGACGAATATTGGGTATCACAGCAAACATGAAATCTGAGTGCATACAAAAAAATGCGTGCACAAGTTATGAAGCAGCTCAATTTTCTTTAGTTTTGCGTGCAGAATAAAAATTCAGCAATAGTTTGATTGACTTAAACGTTCTGGATTGTTTTTTGTTGTCGTGATTCATGTATAAAAAACTTCCAATTATCAATGCCAGTATATGCTTGGTAAACATGAATGTCGAATCAGACCAAGAATTAATTAACACATTTATGGTAAGTACAGAACCGTGAGCCAATACCGAATATGATGGCATGAACTGAGAGTCATTGGTCATCAAATACCGTCACGTAAAATAAAACGAGGAAAAAAGTGGTTAGCAGAAACTTTATTTTGCACGTTTATTCAGAAAGGACAAACTAGTTAACAGGCACACAACCGCGTTATTACTATCAGCCAACAAAAATGAACCAAGTTTGTCACAGACCAAAGAGAATCAAAGCGATGAAACGTAAGTGCCTCTGTCTAGTTTCCGTTCACAACGTTACAAGTGGGATTACGAAATAACCTGTCAGCTTATAAAACCAGAGCCTGATGGTTGTTTTTTTTTTTCAAAGTAAATGTCACCGCTTGTATCTTCATACAAAACGTTCTTATTTGATTTGCTTTCAGTATAAATAAACGTGCAAAATGAAAACCAAGATAAAACATAATGGCTTGAAAAAGTTAATCACCCATCGATTCAATGCAAGCTACATCCGTGAAAGACAACTACAATCATCACAGCGTAGCAGCTTACTAAAAGCAAGATTTTCTGAGCGAATGGTAGTGACAAGTCGATCTGACAAACAACAAATCTTTCGAGAATGGTATGATTAAGTGGCTGCTTTATAAACATCAGTATACCGAGAACTCCGAACCGACATCACTAACCGTTACAAATCAGTCGTAAACGATCTGACCTGAAGGACTACACACTAGCTACCCATGCGCAATACGGTTCAATGAGACAACCAAATGAGATAACCAACAAAACACTGAGAAAGTTTACCTTGAGTGAAGAAGATAAAATTGAACGATGAAGCCTCGGAGAAGTTGAGTAAACTGCCCCAATATCAATCTTAATAGGGCATAGCTTGACTAGATCCTTCCTAAGGTCCGACGACGAATCAAAACTTTGATATCTAAGATAGATATCACCATTCAGTGTGAAACTGAATTCTCTTTTAGAAAGCTACGAAGATTATATAACACAATTTACCCCACTACTTCGAGAATTATATGTAAGCCACTGTGCAAATAGATCGCATGGGAAAAGTCTTCGGTAGTAGATCCTCAATAACTCCTCTGAAAATGTAGATTCCATTTGAATCAAATCCTGAACATAATTTTTCCAAGGTCAATCTGCTTTTAGTATCTCCACAAAACGACAGATTGAACGGGAGTAAATTTAACCGCTTTTTATTCCCTTTACCTAATAGTTTATTGCGGTGTTAGTTCCAAACCCGGGAAATAAGCAGTGCAGTTGTTGTACACATGTGAATTTCGGTTTTTACATCAGAAATGCTTGTGAAACCATAAATATGGCAAATTGCTGTACTAAATATTAGAATGACGGTACTATCAGAGAGATGATATCTTGGTAGACATTAAACGTAATCTGCCATCTTTTGTTGTTTTAAAACTCTTTCAACAAAATGTTGAATTGCGACAATTTCAATTATGAATTTTCCTATAAAGATGACTTCTGAACCTTATCTGATCATAAACTAATTACAGAATCGACGATTGACATGTAGTCTATCTAATAATCAGGATCTTACTTCACTGATAGATAAAGCCAATATTTCCTCTCCGTAAGTCGTGATAGATGCTATTTCTCTCGGAGTTGTTTTATCTCATTTATGTTTTTGCTACGATCCATGATGTTTCAGCTGGCCTTAATATGCTTGACCATATCACATACCGTCGACTAGTATTCACTTACCAACTCTACCCTATTCTTTTCCTTTACAGCTTTTCCAAGTTGTATTCATTCTTTTGATGTCTTTCTCTAATTCCATTCACAATATGTTCCTCGGTCTGCCTCTTCCCCATCACACTTCGCGATTCCAAGTTAGCGCTTGTTTCGTGATACAGTTTGAAGATTTCTATAGCGTATGTCCTGTCCACATTCAACGTCTTTTCTTATTTTCTTCTTGTGCTGGAAGCTGGTTTGTTCTCTTCCATAGTAGGTTGTTGTTGATCGTACCCAGTTAACGGATATTGTGTATCTTGCTCAAACAACTGTTTACAAATACTTGTACCTTTTTGATTATGGTTGTGGTAATTCTCCTTATGGACGTCCACAATGAACATTCTCATTATGATGTTGGTTGAAATTTGTTTTGTCCTCCATATATCATTCAACTGTAGGAATACTGTCCCAATTTGGCACATCTTCCAGAGTTGCTCCATCAGATGTGATTGAGTTGGTGCTCGCTGTGTTCTATTTGAGGATCTTGCTTTTTCCATTGTGTATGTTGAGACCCACTTCTTCAGAGGCTGCTGCCATATTGGCTATCTTTACCCTAGTTTGTTGATGTGTATAAGATAGAGGAGCTAGGTCATCTCCAAAATCCAAATTGTCTGGTTTTATCTAAGCTGTCTATTGTATCCCGTGCTTCCCCTCAGATTTGGAGGTTTGCATAACCCGGTCAACCACTAGAAGCCTCATTTGACACTGACCTTCGTTTGAAATGAGTCTGTCAGCTGTCCTTCATTCACGAATTAGCAGTTTGGTCCATCACATGAATTTTGGATGATATTTACTATCTTTTCAGGTACTCCATAGTATCGAAGAATATTCCATAATGCTCTCTTAGTCACGCTGTCAAACTTATGCTCATCGTCAAGAAAGTTGATGTATAATGATGATTCCATATTTCTATTTCACTAATTGTTCAAAAATGATCCGTTGTGCCGCGATTTGGTCTGTGCACGACCAAGCCCAACGGAATCTAGCCTGTTGGGCATTTACTTGTTGTGAACAGGAAAACAAGAAGCCCTGATAAACTACGAAAGCCATTTTTCGGGACGTTATTCCATTTTATTCAAAGCTTGTAAAACACTGACATTTATTTTTGTCCTTAATCTATTTTACAGGACATAAGCTTACGTTCGATGTATGATTCATTGCCATACCTTTTTTGTTCCGAAGCTTTTGTAATTTAAACATAATATTTTGCACTCTAATTTCTACTCTAATTCCCAGCTTTGGACATAATTGTATTTTTCCTAATTATTGTACGTTGTGGTCGGGTTATTCATTTATCTATTCATGTGTCTTTTTACACTAATCCAAACTAAAATCTGGATTTCTGGAATAGATTGAACAGTGTTCCAGTTGTCTTGTCTTCCCTCATTCGCGTGCGTGTTATCCAATCAGGTGATAGAATAGTTTTTGCTCTACCCCACTTCAAACCCACGCGTACTAGCCTTGGGGTTAGGTCGGTCAGCCAATCGCGCCAAAGTCTTAATTTGAATTAGATAAGTATCCTGAGCACAAAGAGTGGGTAGACAGACCAAAGGACATAACACTACTGAATCTTTCATTCGGTTCTGCAACATTTTGGTGAAAACCTTTCCTTTTACTTACATCGATGTGATTCCTCCAAAGTTCCCACATTTGCTCAGATCTCGTTTCTTTGGTATCTTGATGAGGTATCTTCAACATTCGTCATCGATTTCCAGCGAAAAACGACTTTCTAAAAATTCGGTCTGATTTAAAAAAACGATTCACGTATGAATAACCATTTTTTCACAGGTAATTTTACCACGGTCTTCAAGGGTTTCAATGACACTGAGGTCTTAATCACATGTTTTTGTTGCACCTGGCAAAAATAAGATTTACTCCCATTGTGAAGTAAGCGTATGTAGTTTTGTCAATCGCTAATCAGCATGAAATGATTGTTAAGTCATCTTTCATTATTTATTGATCGATCATTTCACGCTTTTTTAGGCTTATTGATTTACCGGTTCATTGAGTTGCAGATTTACTGCAATTTGCGGTTCGTACTAACTTTAACGGGTTCGAATAGTACAAATCAGTTATCCATCAGTGTGTGTGCGCAGGAAGTGGGAGACTGATTTTAAGGCTTTGGAGATGTTACATATTCACAGTACTTCACAACGCTATTATCCTTAACTTCTTTTAACTCAAGGAACCCAAATCAGGTCGAAACAGAATCCAAGAATTTAGAGGTTCGGAGGTGTATTTGGAAAATCATCGATCAGACCGGGAGCCTTTAACTAAGATGTGTCCAGCAAAACTAATGAGGTCAAGGCTGGTGTTGAATACTTGTAAGTTATTTACCGCTACAGCTTTCATGCTTGCGATAATTGTGGGCAGCTTTCTACTTTGTGCAACGACGTATTGATTGGTGACTTTCCTAAATTATTAGAATCCATCTGTATGGAGACGCAATTTGAATTACGTAGATGTTACTATGAATTATAAAGAATCCGATTTTCGGTAAGGACGTAATTATGAAGTCAAACGTTTTATTTATATTTCCTCTGCTCTTCAGTTTAGTCTTCTGATGGTAAACTTTCCACTTCCATTTGCTGCTACATAGTACGTATGTCTGTCCACTCAAATAGCGCACACCACACTGGCTGCTGCTACTGAAATCAACCGTAGTTGGTCTACGAATATGAGAACACAGAAACAAAGGGCAATTAATTTTGTGTCCTAAGGTGGATTGGGTCTGAATGATGAGAAAGTTAAAGCTAGAAGCGGAAAAGCTCATCGAATGAGAGAAGCGTTCAGAAATGCTAATAACTATACTGCTTATCATCTGTCATTTTTTCATCACAATTCTCACTCGCTTATCATATAATGGCGACCACCAGATCATAGCGAAAAAACCTGAGTTACAGTGTTATATGTTGTCTTGGCAAAATAACGAAGCCAGCACAAAATTTTAAACATAAGTCTGGGTGGCGAGAGTAGAAGAACAATCTAACCATCGCTGATTGACTACCTCGTTCCCAATTATAAAAAGCCTGAAACAATATGATCTGCCCCACAAACATAGGTAAACTGAAATCATATCCCTCACTATCAATGTTCGCTGATCATTAACACCACCCTCCCTTCTTTTGTGATGTTAGGCTGATTAAAGCTTACATTTAAATAAATATTATACCTCACACAGTGCTCTGTATTTCACATAATGTTGGAAAGCACTATTTCCATACGTGCTACTTCGTAAGCTTATCAGCCAGTTAAAAATTATGGACTGTGAGTAAGGAATCTATCCAATGTTTCAAAGAAAGTGTAATCATTTATGAAGATATATTGGTAAACATATGCTTACCGAAGTAGACGAAAAGCTTAAGAATAGGATAGTTATAAGTTAGGCGATGGATAATTAGAATAAATTGATGGTAGATCAACAAAATGCAAGTCAAAGTAGTGAACCGATGAAAAGCGGATAGGAAGGAACTCATAATAAGTCGGCATCGTTGGTATATTGTACTATTCTAACTGGGTGACATTTTACAGACTCTATCAATGCACCACTGGTTATTGATCGCGGTGTAGTTGTCGTAGGGTTAGTTTTAGTAAGTTGGTATCTGTTCGTGAGGAAAGACTAAATCTATTGCAGTAGGGGAGCCACTAATCCCAACTGAGAGAACTCTGTTGATTAGAAGGTTATGAAACACTTTATCGAAAATTTTCCTGATATCGGAGTACAAAATAACCAATAGTTGCCTTTAGTCACGTATGCGAGTAACCTCGTCAAAGAAGTCTATCAGGATTTTGATAGGCTGCTGGATTATATATTGTTAACAAATTTTCTGGCACCCTGTCACTATGCTCTTGCCAAGGTATACTCCTGCATCGAACACCAACTGACTACATAAAGTAGATTCGATAACAAAACTGATGGTACAGGTGATGTCGTTATAATATGGTTCGACATTTCTGATTTCAATGTCAAGTATTTATCGTTGGTCCTATCGACCATCATAGAAATTAAGTGTTTGATCATCCTAGAACGGACTACTTCACGTCACCGTAAAACGTTTTCTTTTAGGATACAAAATGTCCAATTGCGGTCGTGTAGGGTTCCACAACTTTGTCACCCCCTTCCCTATTTTGCAACAGTAAGATTCTTGGACAAACATCAAACCATTTTTTCCATTTGCCTGGCGAACTAGAACTCAAGTAAGAATTCCAAAATCAGGATTAAGTTCAGCCCACAAGTTACTCAGTATTACGGTTCGAAAAGTATCATTCAGTCTATAGGTAAATTCGTGTGTACAAGACATACAGTTTGAGTGATTATTAATTTCAATTGTTTTAGGTAAAATAATACTTGTGCCAGAGGAAACGCAATATGCACTACAATTTTACTGGACCTAAAGGCATTTGGGCTTTATGGTGGCCCAGCTCCAGATACCTAGGATGATCCGATTGGGTGGTAATTCCACAACTTGAATATGACCTAACCTAAAATATTTCATTCAGGTAGCTGGTGAACGTTATTTTTATTATTATAAGTTTTCGAAGAGGCACTCTTTAGAAGGTAAAACTTTCTAATCTGCCTTATGTGGGTTGACAAAAGAGAATATACACTATCCACGAAAAGGGCTCGAACATGACAGAACTGGAAGCTCTACCATCGACGAACTGCCCTCATGTAATGGTGTGTTCAGCAAGACTAACATGTTTGACATCAATATAGAATGCAAAATAGCTGTCTATTTCGATTTGTTTGCCACCACATCCACAGATCGTAGAATGTGTGGCGATCTCATGCTATGCCCCTTTGTTTTCAATAGTGAATTGATTGTTATCATGTCAAATAGCTTTGATCCATCAGGAATAAGCATCTTCTGTGAGATAACGATAAAATGCAAGGAATGAAATTGAAGTGACTACTAGTCGAATGGTGGAATATATTAAAAAATGGCTATGATTATTAGAAGTATCCGAATTATTGAAATAACTAGGAATTCCGAAAATGGTGCAAGTTACGGGAAGTAGAGCTAGATGAATACCAATGAACGTATGACATTTGTAATTTGTAATAAGCGGGTCTTCAAGTACCATAGAATCACTAGTTCATACAAATACCACAGATATTTGTTCTATCTGTAATTAATTATAAGAAGAACATATTTTTTTACTGATGTAGTTGATTTAAAGGTCCTTTTATAACCATTTGAAGACATTATCAGACTCTTCATATTGGAATACTGAATGGGAGCCGCGTAGTTCACCCTTGCCTAAAGGATGGACAGTGAAGTGATTCCCAATGGTATGTCACTATTTTCCAACTTACGTGGGTTCTGAAAAGCAGATGAATGTAATGTCGATAATGCAACTTCACCAACTGTGGATCCTAAGTTGCCGAATGGTGAAGGTATGCAGACAGAAAGCATTGATGCGTCAAAAGTCCAAGAAAACGATGGTTGCTCGTTTATAGAAGAGGAGAGAAATGCGGTAATTGCTGCTGCTGTTGCCGACTTTGATGCAGATGACCAGTGCGAAGAGAATGATGGTGATGACGATACAGTCAATGTCATTATAAAGCCTTCCAGTAAAACAGGGATTTACAAAACCGGCGCAGCTTACCAAGCGCGATCAGTCGCTCACACAACCCAACGTAAGTTTCGAATGATTGGTGACTAGTATCTGACGCTTGCCATGAAATTTTTTATTCGTGCATTGATTTCCCGGCAGCAGTTACCTAATCGATAGTCTTGAGGCATTAGTGTTAGACATAAGAAATAATTTATCTTAATACTTATTACAGTGGAAGCTATGTCTTTTCATAGTTGCTCCTATGTGTTTCCATAAACCAGGCTAATTCTTTTTAAAGTTAATGTGGTCCACAACCAACCATGAAATGGTCACTCAAAAGCGCGGTATAAAATTGACTGAACAATAATTACTGTAGAACACTGCTAACCGAATAGTTGTTTTGTAAAAATACGGATATAAAATCGATTTGATGAGTGGGTAGAAAGTAGATTGTCCAAAGTTAGTGTAAAGTCATTAAGCTTTAACTAAATTGTGAGAAAATACTTCATTCTAAACGCTTTTCATGTTTACACAACACCATCCCCACTAACGTTTGCAGTGACACATCATAGCCTTATTTTTCACCTTAAAATTAGAGGTCCTGAGGGCAATTCACATCAGATGGTTTATCCAGTTGTGTGAAGTACCTAATATGGCTTATTTGGCTTTCAGAATTATTTTGTGAAAGATTATACATCTATAAAAACGTTGGTTGATCTTACTAACCGGAGATGTAAAAGAAAATCATAAGGACTACAAAACCTCTTATGGCACTTTATTGTTTCCAAGCGTGGATATGAAACAAGCTTGCTGTGTTTACGTATATAAAGGCTTGATAAACTATTTAGTCAATTTTCCAGAAATTCTAGGTATTGTTATCTGGGTATCATGAAGGGAAGTCAAAACGTCATAGTTGGGAAGTATTTCAATCGTTTTCCGAGAACTCCATTTTCATTATATCATGGTATTCATTGCGAATAAGTTTTGTCAGTCAGTCAGCTACAGCGTAGGACCAGGCACATATATGCGTCGGTCCAAGTTGCCATACCGCATTAGCACAGCAAGATGAACACCGGATTCATGGGAGTGGTTAAGTCAATGGTAATAATATATAAAAGATTGCATATAAGGATATAGTACATGAAGAAAGAATTAGTTCGTAGAAAGAAAGATATGAAGCGATTTTAATCTCCTAGTTTACGGGAAGACAGAGAGTGTATACACCGACGCCATTGTGATCGATTCCGAGTCATGTCACCAAGAGTCTCCAACCAAGTAGTCTGCATCTACCAACATGGCTCAGAACAGAAGTTAGTGACTTCAAGCACTGATGCCACGTTTTGGTTTGGTCGTCCCTAACTTTCTTCCAACCATCACCTACACCGGTTAGCATTGCACCTCGTGGTAATCGGTGTTCAGGCATACGTAACACATAGCCCAACCATCTCAGCGGATGAAGATTCACAACCTCATCAACTGATTTACCATCATTCCCAAGTACCCTGCGTCGAACCTCACTGTTACTTACCCACAGGTCCCAGCAGACGCCAGCAATATTTCTAAGGCATCTGTGGTCAAATACTAGTAGCTTACGGGTGTCTTCTACTCTTAATGGTCATGTTTCGCTGCCGTAAAGTACAACAGAACGGACTGCCGCGCAGTATACTCGTCCTTTTATTGATAGACGGATATCTCGCCTTCGCCATAGGCGACGTAAGTTGGCGAAATCCAAACGAGCTTTTCGAATCCGTGCTGAGATTTCGTCCGACACCAACTCATTAGGGCTGATCAGACTTCCAAGATAAGTGAAGTTGTCAACGCGTTCGACTACTTCACTCCCTATCCTTAGTTCAGGTGTTGACGCAGACCAGTCCTGAAGCAACAACTTGCATTTAGAGGACACCCAGTTGTGTCCACTGTATTTCGTTCTTCAGCTGAAAGATGAAGGTCTTTGTACTCTAGTCAGCGTCCAGCAGAAATAGAAAAGATGAGAGTAGATAGTCTTGTTGAACACTAATCACTATGACTGCATCTTGGACGTGCCCACCATAAATGACTTTGGAACTCAGTCCCCCGTAGGAGTTTCACATAGTAGTGGCAATCTTCTTAGATACGTTATAATATTGAAGTTCCCACAAGGCTTCCTTATTCTCGCCGTAAAATGCTTTCTTAAGATCAAGAACAGTAATGTATAGCGATGATTCTCATTCAGTTGATTGTTGGTCGGTGATCTTCAGTGTCGATATATGGTCAATTCGTACGAAAGTCATCCTATTGATCTCAAAGTTGTGCGTCCACTCAATCTCCTTCGGTTCAGCAACACTACGTTAAAAACTGTGTCTAATAGTGATAACAGCACATTCCTTCTGAAGTTCTTGTACTCTAGCAACTTGGTGCTGTATCCATCTTTCTAATGTGCTAGTATTTGTTGTTCCTAAAAAATATGGAGGACCTTGTATTCTGACTTTAATACTTAGGCTATGTTATCTGGACCTGTTACTTTGTCATTCTGATTATTCCGATGTCCTTTCAGATTTCTATTGTTGGTGGGGTATCATTTACAGGGAGTTCTGTATGTGATGGTTTGATGTCTGGTGTGTTCAGTGGCACTGGTATATTCAAAAGCTCCTCAAAGTGATCTACCCACCTCTTCCGCTTCTCTAGATCTTGATTATTCTTTGTTCCTGACCGGTCTCTCTGGTCTACCGTATTTCCCGGTCAGCTTTTTGGTTGTATTATGTAGTTTTTTAATATTTCCTTCTGTTGTAGCTTGTTTTCTTGTAGTTCCCTGGCCTTCCACACACTCTCCCTTGTCAGGACCAATGCTCTTCGTCACTCGTTTGTTTACTCTTTATTTAGCCTATCCATTTGCTCTCACCGCTTTTTGTTGTTGATTGGTGTCATGTCATTCCTTTCTTGAATCTTGCCCAGGCTTTCTACAACGATCCATTCTTTATCTCGATACTCCTTGGTGCCTAGCACTTCCTGGAATGTTGAAGTTACTTCTTATGTCCTCTTCCAGTTGATTCCCATAGTGATTTTCTCTTTCAGTAGATCTTACAGGGCTTTGGGAGGCGACATTTTCTCCATAACAACATTTCTCCTGTTGCTAGTATTTACTTTCCGATTTGTGTCAAATCAGCCTGACATATTCCAATCGGGACCAAATTGTGTATCTTAATGTATGTCAGTCATTCAGCTACAACGTATGACCTGGCAAATATGTGCCTCATTAGTACAACAAGGTGAACACCGAATACATAAAGTAGTTAATTCAATGGTGGTAATATATAAAAGAAAGATTGCATATAAGTATATGGTACAGAAAAAAAAATTAGTTGATAGGAAAAAAGATATAAAGCAATTTTAATAGTTTAAGGGAATACAGAGTGTGTATACAATTACACCATTTTGATCGATTCTGAGCCATGTCACCCAGAGTTTCTAACCATTGGTTACGATAGTCACGCGGACCCCAACCAAGTATCCTTCATCTACATCGTCACATACCAGACCATAAGGGCTGATGAGACTCCCGAGATAAGTGAAGCGGTCGACACGCTCAACTACTTCACTCTCTATCATTAGTTCAGGTGCTGATACAACCCAATCCTGAAGCAACATTTTGCATTTCGAGGGGGAGAATCGCATCTTGTACATGCTTGCATTGTTGCTTAGAGTGGTCAGAAGACTGCATTTTGTCAGCATCTTCGCCAAATAAAACTATGTCATTGGCATATTCTAAGTCAACAAGTGAACCTCCTGGTAGAAGTTCAACTCCTGGAAATTCAGACGAGAAAAGTGTTATCTCTAAAAGTACGTCGATGACAAAGTTGGACAAGAATGGAGAGAGTGGACAGCCCTGACGAACACCACTTAAGGTAATCAATTCTGATGACAGTTCGCCATAAGCTCTCACTCTACCAGTTGTGTTCGAGTAGAGGGCCTTTATAAGGTTAATGTATTTCTTTGGTACTCCTTTCAGTGACAAACACTACCATAAAACCTTACGATCAACATAGTCGAATGCCGCCTTAAGGTCAAGAAATACTACCATTGTGGGGCGTCTGAATGTGTGTCTGTGTTCTAGAACCTGACGTAGTGTGAATATCTGATCTATACAGCCACGTCCAGGTCGAAAACCAGCTTGATTTTCTCTAGTCTGCTCTTCACGAGCTTAGATAGGCGTCGAATAATTATTGAAGCTAATATTTTAGACACTATATTAGTCAAACTGGTTCATCTGTGATTGTCACAAGAGAACTTTTGTCCTTTTTAATAGATTGGCACAATCAGTGATTGAGACCAGTCAGATGGGATTCCCAGATTCTACCTAAGATCTCAGTCAATCTCAGTGCTAATACTGAACCGCCGTCGTTAAAAAATTCAGGGGTAAACCTGTCAGGGCCTGCCGCTCTCCCTCGCTTCAGATTTCCTATAGCTTTTTCGACTTCGTGAAGGGTCGGAAGACTTACATCAACTTGCTATTCAGGTTGACTGGAGATTTTGGGGAATCGAAGTGTGACTAGAGGTCAGTTGAACTGAAGTGTTCTGCCCATCGATCCAATCTCATGGATTGAGGATGAATAGTATGTCAATCTTTTTCCGATATAGTTTCGCTAACAGTCGGGTTCCCAATACCGTTTTCTTTAACAAGTCTGGAGAGTTGTCCGCTGTTGCCTATTGCCTCTGCCTTTTCCATCTCTTGCTTTCGCTACCCACCACTGTTCGCGATCATTGCGTAGGCTTCTTATCGGCCTGCGCTTAAACTGACTCCGCTCTTCATTATGTTCAGAGCCAGATGGAACGAGTTTTCGAGCATCTATCAGTGCGGTAGATGCTGCTGAGATCCAGTGTTTCTCTCTAACCTTATGGTTTACCTTACTATCAGATATCACTGTTGTTTCCACAGCTTTTCGGATATTATTCTATGTTGCCTCGGGGTGGGCATCACTTACATGGCTGCCTAACTGTTTTCCTAGTTGTTCCTGAAATATATTCTTACCTTGGCTATCGTTAAGTAGGACCCTAAGAGGTTTTCTTGCAGCGTCTTTCCTACGTCCAGTAAGACGCAGACAGATACGCTGTCGTACTAGAGCATGATCTGAATCTAAGCATGTGCTCCAGGATGAGCGACAGTCTTCTATCGAGCCCCTCCATCGGTGGCTGATTGTGATGTGACCTAGCTGGGTCCAACGTTGGAACGAATTCGGGGGTCGACATGTCAAAGGATGTTTTTCCCTATGCTTAAAGTTAGTATTTGCTAGAAATAGGCAGTCATCTGAGCATAGTAGTAACAGAGGGTCGCTGTTATCTGTTCTTCGAGCCGCGACACCATAAGACCCACCCAGGTGTCTTTCCTTTTCGCTTAGTTTACCTACTTGGGCATTAAAGTCACTAGCTACTATTGTTGCGAACACTAACACGAGTGGGGAAAATCGAACGTATTTGACACGAAATTACAGAGCATCTCAATAAAATCTGAGAACTATATGGTAAATCGTTCATTCGCAAAATATCAATCCATCGTCGCAAATTGGATTGTTTTTTTGCAAATATCAGTCCATTGTCTCGGATTTCATTGTTCATGCCTTTTCATACCAATTGCTTTCCGTTTCCGTTCTTTCCTCATCCATCTGCTGCAATACATTTTATGCCTGACCACTGTTATATACTACTTATATGGATATAAGCAACCCACACCACACTATTACTTCATCAGAGCGCCTAATTTTTTGGAGGAGGTTAGGAAGCTTTCTGTAAAACTCATATTTTACCTCATCTGAGCTGCAGTCAGTGGGAGATTAGGCAGAGACAACGAAGAGCGTCCCTATCCTTCCGAGTCCTTACTTTTCCATTTAGTCGGACAGTACGTGAGTGACTGTCTACTGGGATCCAGTCTAAGAGAGTTCTGCCCTAGGACTCAATGCTATACCTACATCAGCGAGGCCATGGAAAGCAGCATTAGTGTTTACAGATACACGAAGTGTGAATCGAGATGGTTCTTTATTTTGATATGACGAGGTCAAATAAATGACTCTACTTGGATCCTGTATGCGCGTTTCAGAGACGCAAGATACATTGACGGCGCGAGATTCTAAAATCCCAGCTAAGGAAGCCTGTTGTTCTATTTGGCACAGTGTTTGGAAGTTAAAAGCTCCAACGTGTAGTTTAGAGCATGGTTTCAGGAGACTGGGAATAACGTTCCGCGTACGCGAATCGTTTTCATTATCAGTGCGAAGTGATAGCGAAACGTGAAAAGGGTTAGTCATGAAGATAAGAGAGTTATTAGGAAATGTAGGAAGGATTTGATCATGGCCAACTTGGTCTCGTGTGCTGTTACGAGTATGAGGGTTGATGTCGCTTCCCGACTGCCCACACCATGGAACGGTATTTCTTGAGGAACCTGAAAAGGAAATCGGATTAGTGTTGGTCTTAGCGATCTGAGAGCGTGACCGCAGAGCCCAAGGGACAACTGCTTGAGGCCGGTCACGCACGGCCTTTTTGTGGGAAGTTTTTAACGTGTTAGCTCCGTTTTTCAAAGGGTTTTACCGCCGGAGATGAAAATACATGAGGTAAGGTGATGTGTGACATTTTTAGGGTCGACCTTTTCTAACCCTTTCCTTCCTTTTGGGAAGGCAGCATCGCTGCAGATGCTGGTTGTCCAAGGGCGACACCTTACTGCCCTCGCTCCCCTCTACTGTCAGCAGTACCACTTCGCCTTCAGACCTTGAGTTGCTGTTTTTAGTCTTACCGTTCTCCAATAGACCCGCCTGATATGGTAGAACATACAGAAACATGAGTTCCAGGCAATATAGCTTGGTTAGATCATCACGATAAGCAAGCACGATCACCACGTCAAGGTAGCTGCTACGTTCCTGTTACCCGGGCTTTGGACCAGCATGAGCTACAGAGTGACCCCAGGTGAAGTTTACTGTAGGGCACTGTACTATTTTGCATATTCTTAGGCAGAGGCTGTAGCGGTCTTCTCTGAATCGTTCTGATGTTGGTAAATATCCAACCGAAGCGAGTATGAACAGGATAGTATTAGATATTAGTTAATTAATAACAATGTATAAATATAGTTCACGATATTATAAGTTTAAACTATTATACCCGACAAATGTAATGAATTTGCTGAGTTGTATAAATACTCCTTGCTAATAATAAGACGACAAAAAAACTATGGGTACTGTACCGTACTCGTACTCTAGTGTATCTATGTTTTGTATTCCATTTTATAACTGAAATATCTTCCTCCATATTTTTTTCCGTACACTAGTTGAGGCTTGTAAACATAAGATTTTGAACAACACTTGTTTTCACTCTCAGTTGATATATTGCCTTATGATGCGTCTACTATTTTAATTAAGTAAAATCATGCACTAACTGATTGGTCTCATTAATGACAGTGTTGTTTTCACAACTTATATTTTCAAATCGGTTTTTTTCGTTTGAAAATTAGTGTCCAAAAAGAGTCATCTTTGCACTTATGATATGTCCATTCATTACTACTGTGTTGCTTCAGGACTGGTCGGTGTCAGTGCCTGAATTGATGATAGGGAATGAAGTAGCTGAGCGTATCGACAACCTCACTTATCTTGGAGATCCGGTCAGTCCCGGTGAACTGGTGTCTGACGAAACACCGGCACCGATTCAAAAATCTCGATTGGGTTTTGCCAATATGCGTTACTTGTGGCGTAGGTGAGGTATCTGTTTACCAACAAACATGAGTTTACTGCACGGCAGTTCACTCCGTTCTGCTTTGTGAATGTGAAACATAGTTGTTAGGAGTAGAGGTTACCATTATTGGATCATAGGTGTCTTAAAAGCATTGTTTGTGTACTTTGGGACCAGCGAGTAAACAATATTGAGGTTTGGTGTAGGGTACTATTAAATAAAAATGATTAATCGATTGGTAAGGTAGTAACGCTTCATCAACTGAGGTGTCTAGGACATGCGTTACGTATGCCTAATAACTACCTACCTCAATGAACGAAGTTTTCTGATGTAGGGATAAGTTGGGAGAAAATTGAGGGTGGTCAGACCAAAACATAGCACCAGTTTATGAGCTCATTGACAATTGGATTGAGCCATGTTACCAATTGTAGACTACCTGGTTGGGGTTGGCGTGATTATTGTAACCAGTGGTTAGAGACCTCGAATGAAATACCTGGAAGTCGTTCGCAAAAATACTGGCCCATACATTTTTTGTATTCTCCCAGGTCATAAGTTCCTGGATTCTTCACAATCTTTTTCACTACTTTGTGTTCTTGCATCGCATCTTTGATATCTAATCCTTTTTGTTATCACTAGTTCTGTTAACTAGCCCTGCTACATTGGAATTCTCCCTAACAATTCCACCTCACTGTCATCATAGTTTGTAGCAACTTGAACTGATATTTACACTCAACAAGTTCTATGTTGTGTTTGACTGACTGAGCAGTAGACCACATGATCTCTTATCATCTCTTTTAATTACTTGATCAATAACAGGCTCCAAAATATCTAGCTCATATCTGGATTTTAGACGATCAAATCGCATCACCCCATTGCTTATTTCTTTACCTGGACTTGTTATTCTTGTGAGGAAAATTAATTTAGTGGCGCTCTTTTACATAACAAACATGTTTTTGGACTTCACAGGAAAGCACCCCCCCGCGAATGTTATCATATCAAAGTAACTTGTCAATGGAATCGTAACTTAGTCTTCAAAGTTAGTTTCTCAAATTCTCTCAGTATATACTATGAATTTACTTTTCCATAAAAACGTAGGAAAAGAAACATCCAACTTACTGAAGTTCGATAAACATACTTGTATTATTCTGAGTAACTGAAGTAATAAACGAAATTCACTGATTTTCGTATCGTATTAACAATCCACGCATGTGATCTGTTCTGTAGAGACTAAATTTAATTATTATTAGGTCCCGATAAACAATGAATGGTAACTCTGAATCCTTTTGTGGACCAATACTAAACGTATATTTTTCTCGTATAATTGTTATATAACTAAACTATTCATATTCCTCTTATTATAAACTTTATTTTGACAAATGAACCATTATTATACGTTTTACTATTCTGGAATTATGCCCTGTCTATTAGTCACAGCCTCCCACATTTGGCCAAATTTTGTACAAATGTTATTCTCTGTTTTATGCTACGTTGTGGTCTATTTGATTAGTATATAAACTCAGTATGTTTGAAATATAAGGATTCATATTGCAGAGGCTGAGACTAGTGTTCTGAACTTAACTGGCTGGGCTAGGCGGAAAGCAGGACCAATCAGGATTCTAAGCTGCTCACACGTGTTTTACGCGTCGTTGGTCTAATCGATAATTCGCTGCTTCTGATTGGCGGCTTTGGGCTATAACAATTGTCCACCTTAAAGTTTTTCTAGCCACATTTTGTATCCATAGTAAATTGCTTATTAGGCTTTTTGTTCACTATTTTAGATCAGAAAGTCGCTCGTCAAGGTGTAGAATTGGATGATCCAGGAAATATTAATGGAATCCCAACTGTCGAGTACAATCTTTCCACATTAGGAGATGAAGAAAAACCATGGAAGCGACCCGGAGCCGATATAACAGACTACTTTAATTATGGATTTACTGAAGAAACGTGGATCCAGTATTGCGAGAAACAGAAGATCTTGAGACAGGAATATGCAAACACAACACTGAAGCCTGTTTTAAGTAGTGGGGGTGCCAATTTGTTACAGCGGATTCGTTCTGGCACAGTTTCTTCCAATACCCGTTCATTTGATGGTTCTAAACAAGCTAGTATCAATGTAATAAATCTGAGTGGTCCTGGATTAAACATGCGATATTTAAATTCTATTTCCAGCTCTAAATCCGGAAATTCGCCATCTGATGTCTCAAATCGTCTCTTAAATGGAACCGCAAATAATTCTTCAAACTTACTCAGTCAATTCAACCAACCACCACCTGGCTATTTAGGTGGAACTCAACAAACGAATGGAAATACAACTGGTACTGGTGTTTTTAACATACCTCCTCCAGGTTTTGGAACATTAACACCTGGAAACAATTCACAAGTCCTAAATGCTACAAATCCCGCTGCTGCTGCAGCCGCTGCTTTATTTCCTAACCTTGCAGTTCCTCCTCCTGTTGTGAACAATCTAACCGGATGGCCTACTGGAAATATGGCACTATCTAGTCTGATCGCATCTGGTGATGCTATTATTGATCCTACTACTGGTCAAATTAGTGGTATCATTGATCATGGAGATCGTAGCCCAGGTTCAATGTAGTAAGTAACAGATTATTAGTGCTTAATACAATTCGATCAACCCACTTACTATTTTTCATAATAATGGTAGTAATGATATAAATTTTATTACAGTAAGGAATTCTCAGCTTAAATAGTTGAATATTGCAATATATTTCTCCTTAACATACATTCAAACTGTATTTACTCAAAAATTATATTCAATGAATGTTTTTTTTCTCACTAATCACCATCTGTTCATTTTCGTCAACAAAAGTTTACTCTTAATTCTGGTGCTAACACTACTTTTTTGACCATCAGATATGAAATGTTTGAATTTCCACTCATTTATCTCTTTTTCCAAAGAATAAACAAGCAGGAGAATATGCTAATATGTGCAATGTTTTGTTTTAAGAATACAAGTATTTAACGTCGTATTAAGTTCGTACACCATTCATCAAGCCAGTACACGATTCGTATTTGTTATTATCTGATTCAAACAATAAGGTTTATGATGATATTTTCACACTTGAATAATAAGTAGCCTAAACGTTTGAGCAGATCAGACCACCGTAAATATTAACTTTTTCTATGAATTATTTTCTATTAGGAAGTGTTTGCATATATTCACCTTTATCTACTCAAATGTATAAAAATATGGCATCTTTATTATCTCTATTCAAATCCATACGATTTTGTTTTATTTATTTCTATCACTGGATTTTTAGGATAACAGTATGTTTTGTTGTGTAATTATATATATATATATATATATATATATATATATATATATATATATATATATATATATATATATATATATATATATAATTCTTGTTTAGAGTGATAGTTATATTACTTATTACTTTTGAGATCATGAAAGTTTTTTTGTGTTTGTGTTTCCAGTTTAGAGTGATTAATATTGCTTTCATCTTTTGTCGCTGTGATAGCTGGAAGTTTTACAAAAATATGGTGAAGTGTCTCTATTAAGTGTAACATCTTTATTGACAGTTACTGTTTCACCGTCCTATGTAGTTAATTTTTTACTCGACACTCAGAGAATGCTTCCGCTTTTGTAACTGAAATGATTTTCGTACCACTGTTTAGTTTACTTAGTGCGCTTCATAATAGTATGGAATCTAACTGTCGACTTATAAAAGATATAGTCAGAAGTTATTACTCGTTAATAGGCACATGTTAAATGTATTTATCAATGTATTTCACAACTGTACGATGTTCTTCAGCGTAAGGTAACTTCTGAAATCAGAATGGACAACTTAATACACGGTACGTTATTCAGAACTATGGTTTCTATGGTTCAAGTTTTATTTTATTTATTTATTTTAACGCATAGATATTGTTACAAGGAGGCACCAAATACATATGCGCCGCACAGATCTCATTTGATAGGTGTGAGGGCTGTGATACTGCACGGGTGCTCAGACCGAAGCAGGTGGTTTTCTTAGGGGACCACATCCGGAGCCTTCGACCTGAAGGTCTGATCCACAAGGCAGTGGAGCAACGTAAGGAGATTCAGTCCCATGGTAGTCGGTGACCAACGATTGGTTCATACGCCATTTGTTCCTTCAGGATACTGGAGCCCATGTGCACCATTGTTTGGGAATCAGGGTTCTCCAACTCTCCATGTCCACTAACCCGGTTAAAGCGCCGGACATTCGCTCTTCGTCCTCTCATTTTCGTAAACAACACACTTGGTGCGAGAAATCAATGGGTAGAACTTCCGTGACAGAGGCTATATAAGCGTGGCCATGTGAGAGCATTTGGAGAGGGAGAGCAACTCTCCCTACTCTCGGCCGTACCTGGGCATTCGGGGGCAAATATACTATTTTAGCTCAACATTCTTCATGTACATGACAGTTCATTGAAGATATATTTTGTTGACAGTTATTTCTATATTCTGGTATCCATTTGTTAAAGTTCAGGACGCGTTTTACTTTGCAAAATATGTTAATTTAGTCATACAAACACTTAACTCTACTACTTTATCAATCAGTTGTCTCATTATTACAAGTATTTGAACATCTACATCACTAGATCTTGTTATTTACTATTATTGGTAATGAAATCAAGGTACTTACTTACTTACGCCTGTTACTCCCAATGGAGCATAGGCCGCCGACCAGCATTCTCCAACCCACTCTGTCCTGGGCCTCCTTTTCTAGTTCCATCCAATTCTTGTTCATTTTTCTCATGTCTATTTCCATTTCCCGGCGTAATGTGTTCTTTGGTCTTCCTCTCCTCCTTTGGCCTTGAGGATTCCATGTGAGGGCTTGCCTTGTGACGCAGTTGGGTGCTTTCCTCAGTGTGTGTCCTATCCACTTCCAGCGCTTCTTCCTGATTTCTTCCTCCGCTGGGATCTGGTTTGTTCTCTCCCACAGTACGTTGTTGCTAACAGTGTCCGGCCAACGGATCTGAAGTATTTTACGTAGACAACTGTTAATAAACACCTGTATTTTCTGGATGATTGCTTTCGTAGTTCTCCAGGTTTCATCCCCATACAGTAGAACTGTATTAACATTTGTATTGAAAGGGTGAGAGTAAGCAACCTTGCCTGACACCGGTCTTTATTTCGAACGACTTTGTCAACTGTCTTCCATGCACGATTTTGCAGTGTAATCCATCATATGAATTCTGTATGATATTGACTATCTTCTGAGGCACGCCTTAGTGTCGAAGAAGCTTCCATAGTGTTGTTCTGTCCACGCTGTCAAACGCTTTCTCGTAGTCAATGAAGTTGATGTAGAGTGATGAATTCCATTCAATTGATTGTTCCACAATGATCCGTAGAGTTGCGATTTGGTCTGTACACGATCTATCCTTACGGAATCCTGCCTGTTGGTCACGAAGTTGGGAGTCTACGCAGTCCTTCATTCTGTCTAACAATACCCTGTTGAAGACTTTTCCTGGTATTGAGAGAAGAGTGATGCCCCTGTAGTTATCACAGTTGCTGAGATCGCCTTTCTTAGGTATTTTGATCAGTAGTCCTTCTTTCCAGTCTGTTGGTACTTGTTCCTCATCCCAAATCTTATTGAAAAGAATGTGGAGTATCCTTGCAGTTGCCGCTACGTCTGCTTTCAATGCCCCCGCCTGGAGTCCCTCCGGGGGCTACTGCCGGTCCCAAGCCCGGATAAAGGAGGAGGGTTGGGCATGGGGTTAGCGTCCCCATCCCGTAGAAAACTAACTCGCTAAAAAAACGCTAACCAGAAATCAAGGTAACATAGTACAAATTGAGCTGTAAAACTTCACAAATTAATGTCAAGTTATCTTCGTTCTAATTTCTTCTTACCTTTTCTTTTTCTCTGGATGGTTTCATTACAGATAGGTTTTATTTTTTATTTGTAGCTCTAATGAGGATCCTATGTCTCGACGCGGACGGCGTCATTACCATCCAGACGAAATTAGTTATTACGAAAGGTAGTTTTTTCTCGTTTTTTCAGTTTTTAACTACTGGTATTTACAGTGTTATTTTATAGCAACGGATAATAAGTGTACATGAAATGAAGGATAAAATCAAACTTGCATAATTTATTATTTGCAATTTAGAACGTGTTACGGATAAATATATTGCTTTTAATCTCAACAGTAATTAGTTAGTCTCTACATAAAATCTGTTCGTTGGTTATTGAAGTACAATAGCGAAGAACCTTCCTGTTTTCTTTTTCTTCAGTATAAATTTCTTGTTATGAGTAATACTGTTGTTTGCATTTCTTACCTTATGCCAGACATATTCTGTAAGTCGAAGTCATATTTTTGTGTTATTTCCTTCTCAAAATGTAGTTTTCTAGTGTGATGAATAATGGTATTTACCATAAATGTAAATAGGTATTAGATAAAAAAGGTTTTAGGCTACGATTTAATTATCAGTGATGGCTTTTTCAGTACAAAACCATGCTTCAAGATAACCAATACATGTTTTTCGAATATATATATATATATATATATATATATATATATATATATATATATATATATATATATATATATATGATAAAAATATCAGTTTACAGCAAAAAGTCACACTTCACTACCTAGTTAATAACAATAAGATAAAGTATGTATCATTTAGTTGAAGTTTCTGGACATTCGAGTTGTTTGTCTTGAAACTCCAACTTATGTTGATGAAACTCTTCACGGTTCATCTTTTAAGTGTAATAGATTGTTTAATGGTGTTGAAGTTAATCTCAAAATCGTACCTGTACTTCTTTTCTTTATGCATCGCTGTTAACAAGTGTGCTAAAAAAATAACTTAGATATTTGTGGTAATGTTGACAATCAGTCAGCCATTTATATGCACTCAATATTGACTAATGATGGATTAGAATTTCCAGGTGTCTTTAACCATATTCATTACTTATCACAATAGAAATCGGTAGATAGGATATATTCCCTTACCTATCTACTACAGTGAAGATTATATATAGTATCTTATTTTCAATGCATGATATATCTCGATTTTCTGAATATTACTAGTTATCACTAACATTTTGTGATCAGGTGGCTTATAATCCGAATGTTATGGTATTTCGCTTTTGATACATGAGCACCGAATACAAATAATATATTTGTGGCGTATAACCAGCATAAATTTGGGTCCAAGGAGGTGAAGTAACTTCATTAACTGAGAGTCATAACAAATACCAACAACACATCCTTGGTGTTTCTGGGATTCCGTGACTTTTTGTTGTCTGATATCCTCTCATTGAACTATCTAACACACCATAACAACTTAATCTGATTGCCTTGTTACATCTAGGGTATTTGTTTGGTTCATCGTAGTTATGGATCACTCAAGTAGCTGGGTTATATCAAGTCATACAAAGTGTCTCAAAGACTAATCTTATTTCTTTATTTCAACAGATAGATATTGGTACACGGAGGCACCAAATACATATGCGCCACACAAATCTCATTCGATATGTGTGAGGGCTGTGATACTGCCCGGGTGCCCAGACCGAAGCAGGTGGCTTTTTTAGGGGGCCACACCCCGAGCCTTCGACCTGAGGGTCTGATCCACAAGGCAGTGAAGCATCGTAAGGAGATGCAGTCCCATGGTAGTCGGTGACCAACAATTGGTTCATTCACCATTTGTTCCTTCAGGATACTGGAGCCCATGTGCACCATTGGTTTGGAATCCGGTTAAAGCGCCGGACTAATCTACCATGTTGTGGTTTGATCGTGTAACATATAACACAATTCGCTACATTTTCCGACTTCTAGCGCTGCCCAAAGTGGTTTCAATTTGACAGAAAGCTAAGACACTCCAACTCCTAAGATACCACAAATGACCAGACCCTTTTTAAGGTCAATGGTGACCTTCAGGTTAAGGAACTAAGTTGTTTGCAAACGTTCTAATACTAGTGTGTTCCAAAATTATGGAATGAGTTGGTAGTTGTCCCTATCTTTAAAAATGTTCACGCCTTTTTTAGCAAAGATCGTCGAGGGATGAATCTACTCTAAATCGCGTCCAAACTATTGGCTTCCGTCATAATTTGTAGATTGTTCAAAACTCGAGAAAGGTTGGCTCGCGAGGAGCAGGCTGGTTTTCGTTATGGTCGAGGATGTATTGATCATATCTTCACCCTCCGACAAATGTTGGGACACCATCATACTTATCAAAGGCCAACAATCGTAGTGTTTCTTGACATCAGGGTTGCCTTCAATTCGCTGGACAGGACCGTTCTCTGGGATTGTCTGTTGAAGAAGGGTGTGCCTGAGAAGTTTATTACCATTCTAAAAGCCCTATATACAAACACCTTAGGCAGAGTGAGGGCATACAACCACCTCTTTCCATTGTTCCATTTAGGAAGTGGGGTTAGACAGGGTCGTCCAATCTCACCATTCCTCTTCAACTTTGCCATTGATGACGTCCTGAAAACAGCCCTGATGGATGTAAGTGATGGCAGTGTGGACCTGTTGTCTGGAGAAAGACTTCTCGACCTTGAGTATGCGGGTGATATTGTCTTACTGTGTGATAATGCCCAAGCCATGCAATCCGCACTTAATCAGTTGGCAATCAATGCCCGTAGGTACGCTATGTGCTTTGCACCTTCGAAGTGCAAAGTACTTCTACAAGACTGGCAGGATTCTAATCCTGTACTCACCCTGGATGGTGAGCAGATAGAAGTAGTCGATAAGTTCGTGTATCTAGGTAGCGGCATAATTGCTGTTGGTGGCGTGAGTGATGAGATCAATGCACGTATAGTGAAAGCCAGAGCGGCTTATGCCAATCTGGGCCACCTTTTGGCGTTTTCGTGATTTCAGTCTGGCTGTACAAGGTCGGATTTACAGCGCGTCGGTGAGAGCAGTTTTGCTCTGTGCTTGTGAAACCTGGCCTCTCCGAGTTGAGGATGTTAGACGACTATTTGTCTTTGTTCATCTTTGTCTTCGAAAAATTGCTATCATTCAGTGACAACATCACGTTAGTAATGTGGAGGTTCGAGAAAATGTGTTCAACCATAGTGACGATAACTTAGTTGGTGTCATCATCTTTACACACCGACTTCGGCGTTCGTTGTTTCTCTTCTTATTACTATACTCATCCTCCACCCTAACTCTTCTCAATATCATTGTTATTGTACGGTGCATATGTATTTGGTTCCCTTGTAGTGTCGGTTGCTATGTCAAGCCCACACAGCTTATTCTAGCCTCCGAACAGGCTAATTTATTCATTCTTCTTGAGTCACATTTTGACCATGATAATTCGCTTATCAACCTTGACTGTTTTTATGTAAGTGTATGTGTATGCATTTCCCATATTACTTATCACATATCTGTAACTTATTTTTGTTTGACTATAAATATTGAGTAACGCTTGGTTAATGGATTTGATTCGCACGCCTCCACCGCGCATCATTTCGTTTTTTGATCATCTACCTGAATAAATGTTTGAACGAAATATACGTTTTCGAATTTCATTCTCATATTTGACTTATTTAATTCCGTTATTCACTAACGCGATTTAAGTTCCTAATTGTATACGAGGTTTGGTGGAATGTATGTTTCGGTAGCAGTTAGCAAACGACCTACCTAGAGTCAGATCTACGGGTTACTAAACCGCCTTGTACCAACGTTTATATGTTCAAGTAAAAATTCAATAAATAATCAAACTCAAGGTAGTGAGAATTAATTGTTGGTAAAGTTACATGGATAATTCGAATTAAACCATACCAGTAATTATTCAATCTTCATTCTTATTTCATATACACTTCAGTACTGCTTATCGAGGTTTTGTTAACTCAATTTTTTGTATTTCTTTTGATTCCCTTTATTTTATTGTCGTTCAGTATGGTAGTTTAGGTCTACATACTTTGCTAGATCAAAAGTATTTGTTTAATGTTAGAGTAATTACACTTTGAACTTATTTCCATTAACCTCTCTATCAAATGGCCAATAAAAACAAAGTTTTTTGTGCATCTGGTAAAATGTATGTTTGTGATTAATCAATGATTATTCCTCTACTAATCAGTGTGAAAAAATGTTTTCACTCGTTTGATTTGTCAAGGCACTGCATTGTGACAACCCAGCGTAGTTTGTGTTGTATAACGCTAGGGGATGTAGTTTGATCTAAAGTTTTCACCTCAAGAATTGTGATGCAAAATTAAGGGTTTTTAATAATCTTTTTTTGTTTCGCTTGCAGAGAAGGCTATCGATCACGTCGTCGTAGTCGTTCAAGTAGCAGGGAACGTTATCATTCTCGGCACCGTCGGTAAGTATATCTCTTCGTTTTCATATGACACTTAACTGGTCGTCAAGACACTAATCCACAGCAAATTGAGCGATTTACAAATCATCTGATTAATATTACAACGTTTTCCTACAATTCCCCTCTAATAAGCCGTCAATTTTAATCATGGGTATCATATGCTTTCGCACTTCTAACCAAGCCACTTGTGTTTTGCAGGCGTAAGATATTTCTTTTCAAAAGAGGTATTTGTTCATAGCTGTCTAATCTAGTTCTCCACTTAGACCTCGTACCTGTCTAATTTATGCACGTCTAAGCAGTGATTGGTACAAATGAATTCATCATGCATTGTCGTTGTTAGTGGATTATTTTTGGTGAAATTCATGAGCCTATAGCTGCTCTTATTTACAATACATTATTATCCCTTTATGGATTACTGATGTTCTGTTTGGCAATTCCTTGTTCATTGTTTGATATATTTATGCTTTGCTTTTTATATGATTTACTTAAAGCCATCGTGATTCATCAAGATCTGGAAGAGAATATGAACACCGTAGAGGAACATCACATCATTCTCGCCGTTCACGCGAAGACCGTTACTCTGGAGGGGTTGTTGGTACAGAGGAACACGCGTCTACCGAAGCTCCTTCACCAAATCCATCTGGCGTTGGATCACATCGAGGTAGTGGGCGACGAAGTGATCGCGATCGACCTGGTCGAGACCGAAGCCGTGAAAGAGATCGTAGTAGGCATAGAAGTGAACGTCGGGATCATGAACGGTCAGTTCGCCCTTCTAGACAGAGCGACCGTCGTTCATCACGTCGCAAAGAGCAACCTTCCCCACCAAGACCCCCTGTTACTTCAGATAAACAACCAACTACCAAACCTGATCCTCTTTCGGCTGCCGCAGCAGCAGCTGCCAACATTGCCGCTGCCTTGGGAGCTACAAACTCCAGCGGCAAAGCTTCTTGACAAGCCATTTATTTCTTTGGACAGATATTGCTGCACTGTACAGTTTTTTTATTTTAAATGAATATGTTTTTCAAACGTAAATTTCGTTCATTTTGTGGTTCTTTACTATTTGAATCTTTAGTCCATTTTTTATGGTCGTAGTCTTTCACTCGAGCATTCTACAAAAGACTCCATTATACTCATTATAGATATGCTTTGTCTTCAGTGAGTTTACTGATTGCTGGGGTTTGTATCCCCCAATCCATTAATAGGGGAATTCCTCCTCTTAAGCTTGCAACTTGTATAGTCAATTTTTTATGACATATAGATACGATGGATAGTCCCCTAAACACCGTTACGCTTAGGAGAATACACTAGTAGTAATCGAACGTCCGGGCCAAAATCCGTGATAGTAAATCTGAACCCAGTATAATCGTAGCATAGTAGCTAGTAACACAAATCCTACTCCAAATCTTACTGTACATCTGCAGTCAAACTGACGAAATCTTTGTCGACTTGCATAACTAAATGTTATATGGACCATTATGTTAGTAGACCAAGTTGGTTCATAGATGGGTTTTTTTCCAACATAGTATGGAATCAAACTGATATCAATCTTGTGGTTGGAATTTTAATTGTATCGTATCTACTGGTGAAGAACTTTGAGATGTTTTGATGGTGAATTACTGTTGACTGGTCCTAAGTGTACCATTGCACAATATCTTTTAACGTAAACCCATCATTGTTATGTCACGGACGTTCACATCTCACATGCTTATAAGCGTTGGTCGCACTGCACTTTGCCTTACGCCGTTAGTAGAAGTGTACTTTAAGAATAAGATAATGAGAGCTTCAAAAGTATAACAGGGAGGTGCATCAACCTAGAACATGCTCTCCATTTGATTACCGTTGATTGAAATGAAGAGCGGTGAACAGTAATCAAATAGTCAACTTTAAGTGGTGTTCAACAGTTTTTTACCCAGCCTAGCAATAGATGTCCTTTGAGATACAAAGGTTTCGATCTTCCTACTTTGCAAACAAACTCCTAGCCATTATATTCACATACCGGCCTGGAGAAAATCCTATTCCTCAAAGCGGCCGATTGACTACACTATAAACTAACGGTACCGTGTTTGATGTGGGGTTCTTTGTCTTTACAATTGATTGATCACTGGGTGGTGATCAATGTCTTGCTTGTCTAGTCCTTATTAGTGCAGATCGAATGCTATCGATCATGTTGCAATGTGGCCACCAGTCTAGGTGACTCGACACTGCGGGCACTGTGTATTGAGATTTAGATGGTGGTTAGAGGTAGTCAACAGGATACTCTGGACCCGGGTTTCGCGCTACTTGACACTCATCAGCAAGGTGTACCTGTAATCTTGAGGGAACTGGTGCTCCCTGGCGGATTCGATCTCGTGTCACCCAGCTTCACAGTCAGAGACGTTACCACTGAGCTATCCGAGCCGTGACTAACCTCCTGTAGGACTGAGATGTAATTACAATTGATTGATCACCACCCAGTGATCAATCAATTGTAATTACATCTCAGTCCTACAGGAGGTTAGTCACGGCTCGGATAGCTCAGTGGTAACGTCTCTGACTGTGAAGCTGGGTGACACGAGATCGAATCCGCCAGGGAGCACCAGTTCCCTCAAGATTACAGGTACACCTTGCTGACAAGTGCCATGTAGCACGAAACCCGGGTCCAGGGTTTCTTGTTGACTACCTCCAACCACCATCTAAGGTTCTCTGTCTTTAGTTGGTCTACGTCAATACCTGAGTCTCACCAATACTAATGAGCTGAAAGGCAGTTAAATAAAAAGTAATGGCCAAATTGGGTTTCGATTGTATTTTGAATGTATAAACCAAGAATGAATTCCCCATCAAATGTCAGATTTCTCTATAAAAAAAACATACAAACATTACAACGTATGGCAACGAACGTTGTTTATTAGTATGGAAGATAAAGCAGTGCTTACATTTGATTATGTTTTATGGTTGATTAAAAGAGGGGCAATCTCTGAGAATCCCGACCTACTTTTTGCAGAAGTTATCAATATGAAACAATGTCAATGATTACTCGAAAGCATTCTATGTGGTGCGACTGGGTTGGAATTCGACATAAAATACTTAAGAACAGGCCTGAGTCAGCGCTTGAATTGGTGATAGGGAATGAAGTAGTTAGGCGTATCGGCATGTGTTACTATGATAATAAGGAGTATTTGAATTATAGTACGGACTGAGAATCCCAGGAATAACGCAATTGAATCAAGAAGTACTAGACAAGCACGAACGAATGTACTGTATTTGGAATTCGAAATCAAGCACTCAAAAAGTACAAAGGAATCATTAGTTCATTCAAGCACCACATCCGCCACAAATTCATCCTGTGTTTGTCGGACAGTGTGTTGGATAAAAAATCTGTATTATCTAAAGTGTACTCATTAGTATTAGAATTAACAACCGATATCGTAACAGACAAACCTTGTTCCTGGAATCGTATTTCATCAACATGCCCATTGCGTGATATTTTGAAATCACACTGTTGTGACTTTAAACTTGGGTCTATTTTTACCCCCTGCCAATTGTTGCGTCCTTGACTGAGAAGATTAGAGAGCAGTGTAGAACGACCTAGAGTTCCGATTGGTCCCGCTTCCCCGTCTAGCCCGGCCAGTTGAGTCCAGAACACAAATCTCAGCCTCTGAGTTATGAATCGTTATATTTCAAACGTACTCTGTTTATATACCAACCAAACAGACCACATCGTACCATAAAAATAGAAAACAACATCTGTACAATATTCAACTAGTGAAATAAATAACGGCCAATAGGAGATGTTCATTTAAAGCCCAGGGATATCATTAGACTTAATCATGATAATGATTGGTATATTCCTCTGCATCCATAACACACACCATGGGTTTTCCAACACTATCCTCCCCCACGAAATAATGTTGGATCTTCATATCCCCAATTTATGAATGATGTGACTTCATTTAAAAATTCTCACATTGATTAGAGTAAACATTAGAATCGACTTCGTGATAAGGATAAACAGCAGTTGATATGAAGTCATCCAGATTGTAATCAAACTCAAGCTCATTTAGTAATTGTGCTTCGTATTGTACAAGTTTCCCACAAGCAACAAATGCATTATGAGGACAAATAATATTTGATATGATATCAAGATTTAATTCTTCTGAAATAGTCTCCTCAAATTTATTAAGAATGTCATTGCAGAGCAAAAGACCATTAGAAAAGTCAGCATCTAACAAAACTACATCAGGTTTTCGATCATGATTAGGTTCACTAAATATTTTTTTCTTCAGATTTGTAAGAAATTTCATCATTAATATATGCATCATTAGGAAAAACCATACATGGTGCCATAAAATGCGAAATCTGATAAGTTGATTGATTAGAAACTGTTGCCTCACAAGGATTTTGAGTTCCATTTAACTTTGAACTGCTATGTGACTCTACACTCTCTTTTGAAATCGTTGATAAAGATAAATGGTCATTATAAATACTCAACGTAACAGAATCAGAATTACAAGACTTAATATTAGTTGCAGCATGATGAACAGTAGTATTACAACTTGACTGAATATGTACGATATCACCACATTTAAAGCATTTGGAATTACGGAGTGCACATGCATTGCATGGGTAAGACTTGCCACAGGACAAACGTTGACTGAACTTGTGACTATCTTTATGAATTGCATCACAACTCCTGAATGGATTAACTGCATATACTTGAGTATGCACTAGATTGGGATGACGTAATGTAGTGGAATTTTCGATATATCAATGAATCATTTTACGAAATCGTCCTTTACTGCAATCCAAATTCGTATACATAACATAGTTTAGCAGTAGTTCCTTGAGAGTTGCATAAGGAAGCGAAATAGGCTTTTCTGGTTAAGTCAGAGTTTTTAGTAAGCTGTACGCTTCTTTTCCAATGAATGTGAGGAAATGTGGCATAATATTAACATTTTCAAAATCTTCCTTAGTCATAGCCCAAGTTTCGAACCAAGTAATCCTCAAAAGCATCAAAATCCGAATTTATGTCTAATCATTCCATCACAGGCTCCATCGCGACCCCAATATGATAATTAGAGTGGCGAGCCTATAATTTATGGACGAAAGAGTCAGGAGGGTTTGAGGCATTTCAAGGTCGTGGTGCCAATCTCAGCATCTGATGCTCACATACGATCGGCTTACAGTGGATTTTAGAGAAGACGTGATAACTCAGTGGCTACAACAGATGAGACTACTAAGAAGCCGAGAATTAACAGAGGATGTAGTATTAAGCAAGACTTGGTAAGCAGCATTTTCATAAATATACCTCACAGGTACTTGAAATTTACGACAGATCAACCCAAAATGGACAAGAACATAAAGTTAATGAATGTAAGCTGACAAAGCGTTGTAACGTTAATAGGTGTGAGAAGAAACACCACTCTCTGCTGCACAGCGATTCGACAACCAGCAACGCAAATGATAAACCTGGAACCCAAACTTGTTGCGGATAAACTAAATCACTAAACAGTCAAAGCACATACCCTTGCTTTTTGCAAGAGACCATCGGTCTTGAACTGTAAGCGCTAAAAACTGTGGACATTTATAAATAGCGTGGTCATAGGAACACATACTGTATTTAGTTTTCTCTGTCGAACTATTCCCCTGCTCCGATCGCACGTGACAATTCGTCCTTATGTTGTGTCTCTTTCTTGAATGATTCACCAATCGTCTAAATCTACTACAAGTGAGCTAGTCAAACATCGGCTCTCTATCATCTTCAGTCAATTTATCCATCCAGTCCGCCTACTGGGTTTGCATAGGTTGAGGCAAGAGTATCACCATTCTTTCCAAGGTAACTAAAGAATTTAGATCAGAAGTATAATTCATCTGTTCCAAGACGATAGTACAATTTTCCATTTTAATAGCCAGGTTCGATAGCAGCTCCGCGTCAGTATAGTCAAAATTTACGGCATTGAAGAAGTCTTCTAAGATTTCTCGAGCGATTACATGAGACTGTCCAAACAAACGTTTTCGGGATTTCTCTTGCCCTCTTATAACTAGCAGAAGCT